TAAACGGGAAATATTTACAATTACCATGAGTGTCATACTAAATCACCTCTGTTAATGCAAGTTCAATTTTAAGCTTTAAAAAAGGCTCTTTGTTTAGCACAAATATTCAACAATATATTTATTTATCAGCAGGTTTTTTAACGGAGTTAAGTTTAATCTTATAAATTTACTACAGTTATGTGTATTTGTGATAAGCTATATAGAGAAGCAATTATAAACTTTGATTTATACAAAATCTTTGTTTTGATTTTTTGATTCTGCATTATTTGCAACGCATACTCGTATATGCAATTTTTTCGGCATACATACATAACTGAATTTTAACAATTAATATTGCATAAATTCAGGAGGAACCGGAATGAAATTTATGCAAAAAATAAAATTTTCACAAATAAAATTATGAACTTATTTCACATACTTGAAAAAAAATTAAGTATTACCAGAGAGTTTTATCGAATTCTCGTTTTATCTATGATAGTCATAAAATTTTTCACAACCAACAGACGAGCTAAAAGTAAATAATTTTAGCTCGTATAAATATTTTTGAAATCTTAATAAGATACTTCAATAAAAATACTTACTACAAAATATTACATCCTATTTATAACATAAACACTTACAAAGGCACTAGGTATTTATTTATTTGAACACGCAAGTAAACATGTATAATGAGTTCAATTACAATATAATAAAAAGTGAAATAAAAAAACAAACGAATGTCAATATTATGTGTTAAAGCATATATAAGAATATAAAAGACCAGAAGAAAAAAAAGAACAAGGAAATGAAAAGGATAATATGCAAAGAACACGTGTCATTCTATTACTCTATGTGCATCCACAAACAGAAAAAAAAATATAATTTAAACCCTCTTAAAAATTTACGCTTTTCTTTTTATTTTCACTTTCAAAATTACATGAATAAAACAAAAAGACAGCATCAACAAACTAGGAAGGATAATATTATGTATAATGTCCTTGTTTAAAAATTTTTGTTATTAATTTTCTTTTTATTTTTAAATTCCCATTTTATTTTGTGTATGTTAAAAACGGAAACAAATCACTTTGTGCTCAATTTCAAGTTATTTTCAAAATAAAGGGAAAAATAATATTTTTGTCTTTAATCCATGTTTGTGTTACAGTAAACAATTACACCGCAACTTTATTCGTATACATATGTATATAAATCGTGTGCTCGTTTAGATTATTTTCAGATAAACACGTCTTAAGCTGAACTGTGTTATTTTGTAAAGATTTGTAAATGAGGACATAATTTTAATGGTACGATAAAAATCTCAATACAAAATCGTTTACCGCGATATTTAAAACCTTATAATCTTTTTGATAATATAAATTTAATATAGTGTATCTGATAAATTTTAATACAGGTTTATTGTATATAAAATGTGTCCAAAAATATCTTGAAAATTAATAATAAAAATAAAATTTTTTAGAAAAAATATAAGGATCGTGTCGTACCTTAACAGGATTCAGGAATTTTCTTTTTCGCACTTAAGCACGGCGCCTTCTACAACATTTATATAGCATTTTATATAAGTTGTAAGCATATAAATGCGGTGGTCGCGAATTTTTTTAAAGATTACATTATGAAATTCTATTCCAATTGAAATTCTTAAGTATATTTAAAAATTATTTATTCAGAAGATCTTATGAAGAGATATATATGGGTATGTAAACACTAAACTAAATTATACATGATATGTATCTAAAATTTATTGAGGTATATTACACAAAAAATAATGTACGAAAAATCATGAATTTAATTAAAAATAAAAAATTAATAGGGGTATGTATATAATATTATAATGTATAGTTGCAGATCTTATAATTTTTATATATGAATTTCTAAAATTGTTTCTAGCAAAACAAATACAAAAAGTCATTTTAAATATTTTAAAATAAAGAAGTGGATACCTCTAAGCGTGCCAACTTTACGGAAGTGTTTATAGCATAAAACAAATTTTTAATGTAAATTTGCTTAAAAATATTTAATTAATTATTATTAAAATTTTTTCTGAAAATGATAAAATTACTTTGGTTCAGTAACTGCGTGTTATCCGTGCGTCGATTTATATTAAGATTCCTGAAAATATACTTGTTTTAATTTCAAACCTTACAATAATGACAATTTGCGGTAATAATTTTTATAAGAAATTATATTATGGTTAGTATTTCATACTTCTCTTGAATGTTCAACAATGGTATAACAAAAGTTAAATTGAGTATTAATTAGAACTAGTAAATTAAAGTTGCTCATTTGATCATTGATGGCAATTTTTGTGTGAATTGCTATTGAAAGTACTTTATTAGAATCCTGAAAATTATGTCAATTAAAAATTAAGATAAATTTTTTAATATTTTTTTGATTTTTTGTATTAGAATAATTTTTTGAGTACATTTTGTTGAAAATCTATATGTAATATTACGAAATGCATACCTCTCTTTTTATTTTTAATATTAATAGCTCACCCCTCCTCCTTTTAAAAATATCCTTTGTTTAAATTTTAAAATATTTTCTTTTTAATTTTTATTAAAAAAACTATAAAACTAATGAAGTGATCGTTATTTTTCTTTGCTTTACCTCTTTTTATCTTATAACGAAACTCAATATAATTTATAGCTTTTAAAGAACTCTATCATTAATTGAGCAGAACTAAACTTCAAACAAATTATTAACATCTATTAGCATTCCAATATAATTGTGTACACTGCCGTCCAACAACACTCGGAACATGTAATGGCTGACCTGTGTAGAAAAAAAAAACAAAAGCACACTATAATAAAAATAAATTTTTTATATTTATAATCGAAATTTCATTTTATGTAAACCAATACCGATGTAATTAGTTTGAATATCTATACACCTTTTTCTTCCAAAATAAGGCTAACTGTCCTGTGGAAATAGAAATTGAATCGACTAAAAAGGAAAAGATATATAAACGAAGTTTTTGAAATGACGTGAAGAGTGCAATATACATACATCTAAATACATACAAATATATAAAAACATATTTTACCCCATCGTAAAACTAAAATTTATTAAAACGGTTGCATTGCGGATTCATTCTAAGTGTAAATTTATTTTGTAATAGGGGATCATCATCACACCTCAAAGTATAACAAGTATAAAAACAAATTAAAAAATTTTCAGAATCAACATTTAAGAGACTCTATACATACATTCATACATACACACATATATTATTATGTAATAAGAGAAAATTTAATATTTTTTTCTTTCTGGATGAGGAACGTATACACAAAATTCACATTCACAAAATTTTAATAGTTGCGCACGACGCTTAAAGACAATTAGTATATATATTTTATGATAAAAATTTGTTACTTAATAATAACGGTGTGCAATTACTTCACTAACGTTTCTTATGAAAATTTCGAATGTTTTTTTAGGTTATTTCTGTAATAAGTATTGCCATTTTAATTTGAACCGGTAGAGTAGAGTGCAGATTTCAGACATTTTTCATATATCGTAGGATTTCATGGATTTTGCAGGAAATCAAAGTTGTATTGTACATGATCATCAAATCAAACAAAAATCAATTAACAACATGTGATAGTGTCACTTTACGAAAACCTTTATAATAAATATAATGTAAACAAATACATAAAAGATAGTTCTTTACTCGAAAAAAGGAATCATGGTTCACAGAATGAATCCCGTAAAAGTTTCCAATAAATCCTGTGCTATTTCGGGCGTTCCGTTTTTTACCAAAGGAAGTTTTTCTTTAAATTTTTCAAACTTATTTGTAAACAAAAATATCAAATGTTCGCACGTAAACACATCCATCCACTTTTAAAAACAGAACCCATGAAACATAAATAAATGTATACCCATACATGTGTGGAATAAAATATTTTTGTAATTTACTCAAGAAATTACTCATAAAAAAAACAGTTTAGGGAAAAGAAAACATATGTTAATGAATCATAAAACAACAAGTTTATGCCGTTTCATTTCAAATTACTTTCAATCATTTTTATAGTTTTTTTAAGTTTCCATTCCTTTTGTTTTCTTTTTTTAGCTCACAAAATTATTACACGGATGAATTAGTTGATGGCATCTTAAATTTATTTTTGACATTTAATTTAATAAAATTTATATTGTAATTTAACTAACATCAATAGGTGACGATTAATTTTCTCGTTTTTGACTTCGTCGTTTTTTACCATCTATTATGTAGGAGGATTAAGGATTTCTTCTGTATAGACATATAAATCAATGTAGAGAAAGAAATATGTATGTATGTACAATTAATTACAAATGGTGTGTAAAAAATAATTAAAATTTATAAAATAAAATTTAATTAATAAGAACCAAACCAGAGTAGCCAGAGTATATATTTTATTTAACAAATGGCATGACAATTAAATGACGGATAAAATATAAAAGTTTAAGAAACCGCAATATAGTAATGTGTATAACAGTTAAATTTTTGAAAGAATTGCTATTACGTATGTATCAATATAACAATCAAATATATTATAATCAAATATAACAAATTTATTTACTGTTATTATTTATTTAAATAAATGGGTCCAATGTGTGATTTATTAAATTTTGAATTGATCTTTTGGATATACATAATTAGATTAAGTAACTAATTATATTTAAAATGTGCGTATGCTAGTATGATGCCCCCCAAAAATTATAATTTGAAAAAGAGTTTTAATTTAACGAAGTTTGAAACTGACCAAAATGGGAGGAGAGGGATGCGATGAAAAATAGGAATAGTTGTTTTCTAAACAAAATGCTACGATATTCATGCTCTACAAACTAATTTTTATTGATTTTCTTTTTCTTTTTTGTTATACATATTTATATACATACATATGTTAATAATATTCTTAAACTTATTACAAAATGCATTTATTTACAATCATATATTTTGCTTCTTATGTACAATCATAAACTTAAAATTAAATTCCTTTTTAAATTAAATGTTAAAATATTTGCAATTTTTAGCTAAAACAATTTAATGCTTCGCCATTATATGCCCCACCTTGAATCATAATCTGTTGCTGAAAATGATATTGGTATTGATTCCACATCTCTTGTTCAGATTTAATTTGTTGTAATGCAATCATTTCTTCTGGAGTTGGAAAATAAACAGCATTACCATTATGATGATGATGATGATGGTGGAATTGATTTGAATGCTGTAAATTTTGATGATGAAAATTGATTTGAGCAGCTGCAGCCGCTGCAGCATGATGATAACCACCAATAGAGGAATTATAGTGTGATGATTTTGTTTTTGCACCCCCTGTTGTATAAATTCGATTATTTAATGGATTTGTACGTCTTAAGCGGCCGGTTGTTTCTCCGATTGTAACATCTTCAGCTGTTGGATCTAATGCCCAATAATGACCACGACCTGGATCATCTAAAGCACGTGGTACACGAATAAAACATGAATTTAAACTTAAATTATGACGTATAGAATTTTGCCAAACATTTTTATTCTTTTGATAATATGGAAAATTATCGGCGATCCACTCACAAATACCACTTAATGTTAGACGTTTTTCGGGGTTGCTACGAATTGCCATCACAATCAGAGCACTATATGTATAGGGTGGTTTTTGATCAACATTATGTGTACTTGTTCCATATATTGAGGTTAGAGATGTCGGAGTTTCATTATTATTACTTCTAGCACTTATCATTTCAATATCGTTGGATTGATTATTTTGATTAACACCAATTTCATTATTTGATATATTCATGCTTTCATCACATATTGACGTTGTAGTTGTTGATACACCATTAAATGAAATATTTTGTTGTTGACTGTTATTATTGTTATTGTTATTTGAGCTTAAGATTGACCTTATTGAAAAATTTGAATTAAATCCTGGTGCCATGTTTGTTTTATTATTTATGTTGTATTAAAATATTTTAATTAATATTTTTAGTAATTTTTATTTTCTTTTATTATTTATTTTAAATTATAGTCAACTTGAATGTCTGTCACCTCTTTTAAAGTTAAACTAATAATGAATGATTTTTCAAGGTTCTGTCGCATTTTATACAAAATTGCAACCGATTACTATTTTTATTATATCTAATGTTAATTAAGATACTTTCATAGAATAGACTATATTTAGTCTCTTTAACTTTTCCAAAAATTTATGACATGCTAATATCAACATCCGTTTGTAATTCACGAAATTATTACCTATCACAAGAATATTCTTTTCAATAGAAAACAAATAATACTTCTCTTTCAAACTTACAAAGAGTAATTAAATAAATTCGATATTGTATAAAAGTTAAATCAGAACAGGGAAATTTTGTTTTCTACTTCAGGTAATTTATCTTCAATTTTCAAATATTCTGAATTTTAATTCATAAAAGCTTAAACCATAAAATCGCCTAAATAAACATTGTTAAACAAACAATCCTTTTCCTGAATGAAAACCACAATATGATGAATAGAATTAGTGTTTATTGCGGCAAATACACAATAAAGCAAAAAGTATACAGACCGTTACCACTCAACAAATACAGACCGTTAAATGCAGTTTACAGGTATGTTTAACTTATAAAATAGATTAACTATATTTACACAGGTAACTTTAAATTATAACTTCTTGTTCTTTTGCAAATAATCATAAGAACAATAATAAAAATTCCAGCATTATCCTTTTGACTTTGACTTTGTGGTTTTATTAAAAATACCCAAGATTTCTATGAATTAGAATACTGAAATATGCTATTTATTAATTTAAATAAATAATATTTAGGTGTAAAAGATTTTGTATACCTTAAATTTGCATTTTAAAATATTGTGAATGTTTAAAACTTAATTATCAAACTATGTACGTATGCGATTGTGTTTGTTATTAAATTTTTGATACAAAATATTTCCAAATCAAAAGATTATACAAAGTTTATTTATTATTAATAAGTTTTGAATGGTTTTGGTTTAAGAAAATACTAATACTTAATGTTGTTTATTAAATTTTAAAAATAAATTTTAATGAATAAGAATTAATGTTCGAAATAATCTGTTACAGTTAGAATAATTTATTATTAAAATATAAACGTTTAATTTAAATTTTTGATTGATTTTTTTAATTCAAAATGTTTGTATGTACACAGGTAGGTACTTAAAGCACTACTTAAACATTTTAAGTAATAAATTTAAACAGTTTTAATAATAATGATTAATGAATTATTGATTTTTTGTTAACAATTATTGACTTTGTAATTTTAGATCGTTAATATTTCAAGAGAATTAGAAGATTTCGATTGGAAAAATATTTTTATGATTTCATCTAATATCAATAATAACGCATTGAATATTATATCACCATCTAATATCAATAATAGCGTTTTACGTGTCTGAATGCATATATCCACTGAAATATATACATATCAAATGAGCAGACACTATCATATTATATATTAACTTATGAGTAAAAGCTCCATAATAAATTTTTACTCTATGAACAATGTAGAGTCTTAGTCCGGCTATCAATTCAGTATTAAAATATTGGCACGCAACTGAACGAAGTATAAACCTAAACGTAAATTCGCTATACATAAGACTGACTTTCTGATCGAGCAAGCATCGGGTTATATAAAAAAAATTTGTTGTAAAGCGGGGATTTTAAAACAAATCGGAAAACACATGGTTTTGACTAGTCTGATTGTATGAAAATGTACAGCTTATGTTTTAAAAACGTGTTCAGCTGTACCGGATTTCTAAATACAATCAATTCTTTATACATAGATTTTATATTATAAGTGCGTACCTAGGTACAATTATTGAGCTTTTGAGCTCAAAATTTTAGTTACATTCTTGCTAGCGGGTTAAGTAGAGCAAACCCATTCTAACCATGTAAAATCATACATATATAAATGCATTTGAAATGCAGTGTCTTTCAAAAATATTTTAAAATAAACCTAAGATTTTAAATTTTAAATATTTTTAAGTATTTTAATATTAACATGACAAAACATTATGTAGATATTTAATTATGGATATGACACATGTTCATATGTAAATATGTGTTCCAATTTACGTAATGCATACGAACTTACAAGATATGAAACTATATCTACTCTACCTACATATCTAGAATTCTTGGTATCAATTAAAAAATTATTAATGAAAAATTACATGCAATCATTGTGTCTAAATACATGAGTACATACATATGTATATATCATTATGAATAGCAAATATTTAATATTTGTATCTGAAATAACGTAGACCATAAGATAAGTATGCTAGATATTATTTTGAGCATGCGTATAGAATAGAAAAATCCGTTAAAATCCTTATCAAACTATTTGCAGTTATATACATACATACATACATATATATAAATGTAAGTATATACTTTAGCGAAAATTCCAAGTAAACTAAATTGAAGTTCCAATAAAATTTCGCATTCTTTTCTTGTTTATTTTAAGAATTAGTTAATTGTACGTACCTGTTTACATACATAAGTATGTGCTTGTGTTCATTTTATTATTTTTTTGATGGGCAGTTCTTTTCTTGCAAATTATGCATGAAATAGTGAAATCACAATCTTCATTCAATAATATTTCTTTAAAAATTTTATAACAATAATATAAATTATAAATTATTTAATACGTTTATTAGTTTACCTGTATGCACATTGAAAAACCAAAAGTTAAGTGAATTTTAGAATATTTTATGATGTATTTTAAATATATGTATGTAATTACTTACATATATCCATATATATTTACATACATACATATATTATCATTTTACGGATACGTCATTATATTACTTTTACATTAAACTATTATTATTATTTGTAATTGTAACATTGTAACATTACCGCGGTTTGCATTTTCGTTTGGTGTTAAAACGTTTTTTTGCTATAAAATATCTAAAAATAAACAATTTAAAAAAAAATAGGTTTGCTCCAAAGCCTAAGCAATTCACTTGCAAGCAGGGATGGAAAACGTGACTATTGTACCAAATATAATGTTTTCAGAAGTAAATTGGTACGGTGGTACGCTCAACTAAAATGTGATACTACCTACTAGTGCAAATTCATTATATAAAAATTTTCCTTTTATAAGGAATAAAATCGAAAATCCTTGCATTATGTTGAATGAAAAAAAATTTATTTGCTTCTGTTATTTACCGCATATGTAAACCTAACATATATTGTTATTTGTCATTAATACGCCGTGTACTTTGCTACCTATAACTTTCTTTTTTGGTTTATGACTTGCCGAAAAATTCGCTGAAGAGGTTTGTCGATATTTGAATTTTGAAAATATATACATATCTGTTTTTAATTGGTTAGATTACAAGTAATGTACCGGAAGCTTTTTTCTCCAGTTGGAATGCTGCTAGTTTTTAAAAATCGATAATTTAACTATAACTTAAAGTCCAAATCATAAAAATATATTACACATAGAATGTAAAAGTACAAAATGCTATTTTATATTATAACAGCACAGATGCTATATATTGTAAATTGTGCCCAAAAAAGCTTCAAAAAAAAAATCCCTGGTTCATAATATATGTAGTATTCCTATCGCTGGAAACGTTTGTCAAATTGATAACGTGATACTCTCAGTTCTGATTTAGTACGTTCAGAAAATTTAAGGTAGTATTTCAAAATTTTTTGAATTTAGGTTAGAAAAGTGTATATACATGTCTACGTATATGTTAAGAAATAGCTAGATATTGATTTTATGGAGGAACAAAACCTGTATTTATATGGTTCTATAACTGTGAAAACAGAACTAAAGCGATGGGCGGAACAAGAGAGGAACGGTAAAATCGATTGAGCAGTATTTTGCATAAAATGTCACATACTCATAGAAAAAGATAATGTCAAAAAAAACCGTCACGATCTTTTTTGTAATACAATCAATTTTTGAAAATATCTTATGTCTCTATGATAATTTTTGTTAATTGTGAAAATGCAATTAAAGCTAAATTTTGATTCTTGTCAATTAAATTTTTCACTCTGTTCGTTTATATTTATTTTCGAAGTATATTAAATAATTTTTTTATTTCTTAGTTCAATAAAATTAGATGGAATATGAATAGACGCACGTAGTACATAATATAATTAAATAACTGCCCTTTTTGTATTACGTCAACTCAATTATAAATTGTAATTTTGATATATCTGATGAATGTTTTATGGGTTTGTAAACTGCGTCATATCTGATAAATGTTTTATGGGTTTATAAAACTGCAACTACACTGCAAGATGTTATACTAGTGCAAGATTGACAATTAAAATTTGACATTTCTTGTTAATATCTTGTTGTTCATTTGACATATCGACATCAGTGAAAATATTTTATTTTGCTATTGTATTATTTACGAAAATTATTAAGTGAAACTACTTATTTAAAAATTTTTAAGAAAATTACATATGTATAAATATGTATATATAAAAATAAAAATGTTGTGTACTAATTCCTAATAAAAAGATATTCAAATTACTAATTTTTCTACAGTAACAATAATTTGAGCATTAGCACATGCTTGTAATTCCATTTTATCCCTCCGTTACTTAAAGAAATTTATTTATAAGTAAACAAAAACTAAAAGATATGGCAATTTTAAAGAATTTCAAACAATCGTCTGAAGTTTGGTGTAAATGAAAATATAATTGTTATTGAAGTTTCGCTTAAATAAAAAATGAAGAGATAATGGGAACGAATATATTACGATTTTATCTATATCTAATTAGGTTGATTGGTATATATATTTTTTGTAAGGTAATAATTATATGCAATGTGCAAGCAGAAAATTGTGATAAAACACGGAAAGTATTAACATCTAATATTGGTGAAATATCACATGGATCTAATGCTAATTACACTCAAGATTCACATTGTGAATGGTTAATAAAAGCACAAAACTCGAGTCAATTTATTACCCTAAAGTTCCATAGTATGGCAACAGAATGTTCTTATGACTATATTTTTGTATATGATGGCGATTCATTTAATTCAAAACTTTTAGGAAGTTTTAGCGGTCGAACAGAACCGCAAAAACTTGTAGCTACCTCTGGAAATGTAAGAAATATAAACATAATTATCAATATTAGCGACAAATATTTAGAACAAATACTATTTTTAGATGTTAATATTATTATATAGCGACACTAACTATGTTCTTGAAGGATTTCATGCAACTTATTACATATCGAATTGTTTAAATAATTGTAATAATAATGGTAAATGTATCGGACATCATTGCGTATGCCATGGCGAATGGTTAGGACCAGATTGCGAAAATCAAGCTTGTCCTGATCGCTGTGGTGAAGATTTTGGCCGAGGAAAATGTGTTCATGGAATTTGTCAATGCAACGAGGTATATTATATAGATATCAAACAATATTGCTGGAATTACAAAATTAATTTTCTACATTTTTAATAAAGCATTTTAGTGGTAGATATTGCGATTTGAAAAAGTACCCTTTAGGAAATAACTGGCACTGGCTGGCCAGTGAAAACGAAGGGTTTACAAAAAGGGCTTCTCATACTGCTATATATTTAGAAGAGCGAGATGCACTTTATGTTTTTGGGGGATATGATTTAAATAATGTTTTAAGTTCTTTAGAGGTATCTACATTTATGATAACTTTTAATGTTGCAAAACTTACTAAGACTCTTCCACTTTCGCTTTAGATCTACAACTTTAGTAAAAGCCGCTGGGAAGACGAATGGGGGATTCCCCTTCAAAACCGTTTCCACAATAATTACACATCAAAAATTGATAACACATTGCTAAAAGCCGTATTATCAAATAAAAATAAAGATGAAGCAAAATTATGGGGACTCAAAACTGATGCTTCATTTTTTAAATACATTTTATACACATTAGCTGAGTCTAATATTACTGCGAATAACATAACAAATGAAGATTTAGCTACTGTCATTGACGACATATTAGAAGACGTAACTGACAACCGTCCTGATGCAAGATATGGACATGCAGCAACTAAAATATCTTCTGGATTCATAATATTTGGGGGAAAATTATCCAATGGTAGTTTTTCAAACGAATTATGGTTTTACAATGCGAGTAGAAATGGTGGAGAATGGATGTTAAGAGCTAAAAAATCTAAATTGTACCCCCCACCTTTAACTCGTCACACTTTAACTGCGGTTGGAGAGTATCTTTATGTTTTTGGTGGAAGTTTAGAATCGGGGGAATATTCTTCAAAAATTTTCCGAATACGATTTTCATTAAATTCAAATGAAGAACAATGGCAAGAAGTTTATGCTAGAGGTGGAAAAACTTTAGACTTAAGACTAGTTGCACATACTACGGTTTATTATCAATACACCCATTCTTTAATTATATACGGTGGTATAATGACAAATTTGGCGAGATTTTCCAAATTATCCGATCGAATATTTGCGTTTCAATTGGATGAACTGCATTGGACAGAAATCCTTTATCCAAGAACCGCCTTAAGAGATACAAATATACCACATGAAAGAGCATTTCATAGTGCAACCATTGCTGGAAATTATATGATAGTTTTTGGTGGATATACACATCGACATAATAAAGAAGAAACTTGTTATGATAACCAAATGTATTTTTATCATTTGGGATGTCACACTTGGATTAATCAAGAAATTTCTTCATCTCCTGGAAGCCATTATCCGAAAAAACAAGGTGTCTTCGCCCATGCGACTTCTGTAAGACTCAATAACACCTTATTAATAGTTGGTGGTTATCACGGAAATGTAAATGCCGATTTATTCGCCTATGAACTACCACAAATTTTACGAGTTAAAGATCCCACAAGGTATTTACCAGAAAGGTTTTGCCACTATCATTTAACACAAATTACGTGTTTATCAGACCCAGAGTGTGGATGGTGTTCGGCTGATAGCAGTTGTTACGGGAGAACTATAGGTGCCAACTGCACAACTAATTTGCAAACAACTAGGTATAATGTAGCCTTTTTACACATTCCAAAGAATTTTTTAACTAGCTTATTTTAGGTGTCCTGGGATATGTCCATCCTTAGGCGATTGTCATTCTTGCTTAGTGCATGGATCAATTCGTTTGAAGAATTTCCCGGATTCGTATTCAATAGCTAATAAATTGGGTTTGAACCAATGTAGTTGGTGCGTTCAAAATGCGAAATGTCATCAAAAGGACAATAATTTTGGAGTATGTGGTGAACCAGAATCACAAATTACTGGTTGGTGGGGTAAAAGGGGGACCGAAGTAATAAACAGAAAAAGATGTACTTTTCAAGATAGACGCCCGGGCCTTACCTATATAAAATATAATTATCCGGTTAATTACACAATGCCAGATTATGTGGCAATTGTTAATGCAACTATGGCAGACTTCTCACCAACCAGTTATGACAGAAATTCCGCGAAAATGGTAGCCCGTTTAATTGGATATGTTCGACCTCAGGGCAATGAAACATTAGATATGTGTGTCAGTTATGCTTCTTTAGCGACATTAAAAACTGGAATCGGAAATGTGCAAGAGCACAAGTCGAAAACCACTACCATGATCGATGTTAATCAAACTACTTGTAAGCTTGTTGAGTGGACTCTTTCTGAGCCATTTTTTGTTGATTTTACGACAAAGCCAAAAGAAAGTGTCATGACAAAAACTAATATGGAATTACGACATTATGGTACTACGAAAGCGTTGACCTTCGAATATTTGGAGCCTTATTCATATGGCAAATGTAACATTTATAAAAACTGTCTCCATTGTTTGACGGATATGGCTTGTGGCTGGTGTGATTTGACTAATAAATGTCTACCAAGAAATATTACAGAAACATTAATTTGTAAAAATGAATACACATGGCATTATTTAATAATTCAGCCACCTCATTGTGCTAATTGCTCTAATTACATTAACTGCGAAGACTGCATCGAAACTGAAATTTGTGAATGGTTATCTGATGAAGCTAAATGTTCCAGAATTGGACGTTCTCAAGCAGCAGTACGTTTAGGAGTAAATACATGTCCTGTACAATGCAAGCTTCGTACAAATTGCTTGGATTGTTTGAATCAACAGGGAAGATGCGTGTGGTGTGAGGCAACGGAACAGTGTTTTAGTTTTAGCGTATACACAAGCGAATATCAATTTGGTATATGTCGAGAGTGGCTAGATAAAAGTTTTTCTAATCCTAATATTGAAAATGTACAGAATATAACTTCAGTTCAAAGTAATAAATGTAGAACTTGTTCTCAGCATAAAAATTGTGTAAGTTGCCTTAAAAACTTAGGTTGTGGTTGGTGCTTCAATAAAGAAAAACCAATAGATGGTGCGTGCATGCGGGGTGATTTTAGCCAATCATATGAAAATTGTAGCTTAGAATTAAATATTGACATTTTAAAAACAGAATGGGCATACTCTCATTGTCCGGATGTCGATGAATGTGCACTGAAAATAGATAGTTGCAGTCAAAATGCTGAGTGCATAAATACCGATGGTTCATATGAATGTCATTGTCGCAGAGGTTTTATTGGAAATGGTAGAACTGAATGCAAAAGAACGTAAGTTATTCAGTTTATTTTGTGTAAAAATATTTTATAGCTCTTTGTAAAATTGTCATTGCAGTTGTTTCGAGAAATGCCAAAATGGAGTTTGTTCTGGTTCTCCAGGTTATGAATGTCAATGTTTTAAAGGATGGACGGGAGTTGATTGCAGTATAGATTGCGGATGTTATAATCATTCAACTTGTGTCGTCAGCGTTGGCATTTGTGATCAATGTGAAGATTGGACTGAAGGCGAACACTGCGAGCGATGCCGACCTGGCAGTTATGGCAACGCAACTTCGAGTGAAGGTTGCTCACCGTGCAGTTGTAACAACCATGGAAATAAAAATTTAGGATTATGTGATAGAAGAACTGGACAATGTTTTTGCCAAGATAACACTGGAGGTTTTAGATGCGAAGTTTGTAACGCTCAATATTATGGTGATCCAACAATTGGTCAATGTTACTATCAATGTGAAAATCGTGGTATATTAACTCAATTGGGAGTACAAGGGTTAGGCTCTCACCAATCATATAAAGCTCCGTGGGGAGGTCGAGAAATTGATGAATGTTTGTGGTTGATTACTCCAAAAAAAATAAAAGAAGAACCTGTCATTCAAATTGATATCGAATGGGAAAATTTAAATGTGAAATGTGATAATAATGCAATTTATATCTATGACAGTTTACCCGATTTGTCTGGAAATATTCAACAAGGGCAATTGATTTCCATAGTATGTAGTCCATATTCGGCTCCTGTAAGAATAGAAACAAAATCGAAACACGTATCGGTTTATTACAATAAAGGTGGGGACCGGAATAATGGTTTCAAAGCTATATATAAAGTAATGAATTGCGATGATAATAAAATTTGCGGTTGCCCTACCGGGTGGGTTGGTTCTAAATGTGAAAAAGAAATTTGCCCAAAAAACTGCACTGAAAATGGTCATTGTAATCACAACTATGGTATTTGTATATGTAATTCTGGTTATGGTGGAACAGATTGCTCAACTAAAATCGAGTCAAGTAATTTAGTTGTAACAGAGCTCTTTAATACGATTTACTTAGGTGATAATTTTGAACACTTAAGAAAAACTATTCCGAGATTTGGACACTCATTAAATGCCGATAAACGAGGTTCATTGTGGATGTTTGGAGGTTACTCTTTATCAAACGGACCCCTGAATGACATTAGACAGTTTGACACAAAAAATGGTACTTGGATGCAAGTCACAGTTGAATCTGAACCTAATGATAAGATGCCTCAGGGGAGATATTTCCATGCTTCAGAAATTTCTTTGTCAAAGCAAGTTATTTACGTTTATGGTGGTTTAACAAGCTATAAAAAAGGTCAGCCTAATCAAATTTTGAAAGATTTTTGGCAATTTTCTATACAAAACCAACGATGGGATGAAATTGAAACAACTGTCGAATCAATTATTAATGGCGATAAGCCTCCGTCTTTAGCCGGGCACACACTGACTTATTTGAAAATCGGAGAGAAAGAATCGCTTCTATTAATTGGAGGAATCTCGAGCAATTTCGATATGATACAATTGCAACTTTGGGAATTTGAAATCGAAACAAACCGATGGCAACGCATAAAATCGAGTGGAGCAAAAATTCCAGCTTTATTCGGACATAGTGCTGCTTTTCATGGGACATCCTCAATAGTATATGTATTTGGTGGTTATGCTGAAAATAGAAGCCAAAATAAACTATATGCCTTAGATTTGAAAGAAATGAAATGGGCAGAGCTTCCAGTGTTCAGTGAACTATATGCCCCAGAAAGCATTTTACCCCTTTCCAGATATTTTCATTCTGCTATAACGACAGAGTTTTACATGATAGTTTTTGGGGGAAGAACATATCCGTATTCATCAACTGACATTTTAAATGCATATATCTTTGAATGCAACAGCTGGGTGAAATTAACTGAACAAGTTAAAATTATTGGAAATTTACCATCTTATACATATGGCGAAGGAATGACCATTGATCAAGAAACTAAATCTGTGTATATAGTTGGAGGTTGGGATGGTACATCACAAAGTCGTGTAACTAAAATTCAATTACCCGAAGACTTATGCCAGTTGTGGAGCTCCACCAAAGCTGTTTGTAGACATCATATTGGTTGCAGTTTTTGTAATATTACAAACGATGCTATGGAATCTACACATTTTTGTTTTAGAAATGGTAATAACATTTGTCACGGACGTGAGGGGACGTTATCATACAATCATGGTGCATTATGTGATGCTTCTTGGATCGCTCGTCGTAACTGTTCAACATTCAGTGCATGTTCAGCTTGCTTGGCCTTTTGGCCCTTACATGAAGAATCTACTTCTGTATGCCAATGGTGTGAAAGCTACAATACAGAAGGCAAATGTTTACCTGCAAACATTGAATGCCCAAATTCTCAAGGTTATAATAAATCTATAACAATAAATAAATTAGAGAAATGCTTACCCGAATGTCAAAAACTGGATTGTGAGACTTGTTCATTATATAGTGATCACTGTCAATGGGCGGTTGTCAAAGACATACGTGTGACTGAATGTATAAAAAAAGAGTTAATAGAAAAGAATTTTGGAAATTATAAAGTTTTGACCAAATGTCCAATGAAGTGTGAAGAATTTAAAAGTTGTAAGTCATGTTTAAGCATAGAAAGTGAAAATTATTTGTCATGCAAATGGTCAACCGCCTTACATGCCTGCATAAATCCAAATATTCAGCCACTTTATTGCGCAGGGGGTGTTTGCGGTCTCGTATTAGATTCAATGAAAGACATTGATCAATGTCCAAGTTCCTGTTATTTTCATAATCAATGTTCATTATGTTTAAGGCACGCCAATTGTGGTTGGTGCTCTAAAGAAGGTTCTAATGGAGATGGAGTTTGTGTCGAAGGTCTAGTGGAAAATTACTCTTCTTATCAACCAACAACCGATTGCAACAATCACTATGCATCTTTTAAAAACTTATCAGTTGACGTATTGAAGAATGATAAATTTGTCTGGAATTACCTAACATGCCCCTTGGAAAATGAATGTAATAATAATCATCATCAATGTAACCCAACCTCCCAGAGATGCCTTGATATACCAGTAGGATATAAATGTGTGTGCGCAGAAGGTTATAGAGATGAAAATGGAATATGTATTCCAGTTTGTAAATTAGGCTGTGAAAATGGGGAATGTGTTTCCCCTGACGACTGTAAATGTAATTTTGGTTATGTTGGACCAAATTGCTCCATAGCTTGTGAATGTAATGGGCATTCTGACTGTTCCGGGCCAGATCAATTAAGCGAGTGTTTGTACTGCCATAATAATACAATGGGGTTGCAGTGTGAGAAATGTAAACCACTTTTCGTTGGTAACCCTAAAAATAAAACATCTTGTGTTCCTTGTAAGGAATATTGTCATGGCCATACAGATGTATGTGTTTCAAAAGACGAAGAAATTTTAGCAAGTAATATGAGTCGTAATCAAATAGAAAAGAATTTGAAAGAGGGACCGAAAGCTAATGCGGTTTGTATGAATTGTGGCAATCAAACAGATGGAGAACGGTGTGAAACCTGTGTTCTAGGATATTTTCGGGGATCATATAACATGTATGATATATGCAGGCCCTGCGAGTGTCATGGACACGGCGATATTTGTGATCGAATAACTGGTGAAAAATGTAATTGTGGTAATAACACAGAGAGTGATTCTTCTTGCATGAGTGGTAATAAAAATTCAGCTCAACAATGTTGGAGTTTTCAGTGCTCTAAATGCAAAGATTCCTACGCAGGTAATCCTGTTGACGGTCATCAATGTTATAAACAAATAAGTGTAGAAGTAAGAATGTGTTTCGATGCTTTACCAATAGAACAATGTAAATTGAAACCCTCTCCGTTGCGGCCTGGTCAAACAGTATTTTTTGTAATACAACCACGATTTATGAATGTTGATATTCGAATTATGATTGATGTTACCCAAGGAGAATTAGATGTTTTCATGAGTCCGCAAGACGATTCTTTTGTCGTATTAAATAATCAAAGTAATGAGTACCATGAATTATTCTTAGATAATAAATACCGTTGGGTGACTGAAAGGGACTCGGATCTTACAGAACCACTGAATATTGTTCAGCCAAAGTTTGATAATACGACTAATACTATCGTTAGTCAAAAACTATGGACACCTTCAATTCGTGATTGTAAGTCACTAGATGGAGAAGGTTTTTATGTAAAAGATCAACGTGCTAAAGATTTAAGTACTTACATAACTTTAAACCAGTGTAATACAGTTTTACGTTTATTTAATTTGAAAAATCGTTTAGTGTTAACATTGCCACAAACTGCTCATAATTTGAGTGCAACCAGATTTTTCATAGCTTTGAGATCAAATCCAAATGCAGAAGGTAGCTACGGATCAATTGTGTTTCGGCAAGATCAACTACACATTGATCTGTTTGTATTTTTTTCGGTATTTTTTTCCTGCTTTTTTCTATTTTTAGCCGTTTGTGTTGTCGCTTGGAAAGCTAAACAAGCGGCCGATATGAGACGAGCTCGTCAACGTCATGTGGATGAAATGCTACATATGGCGCAAAGGCCTTTTTCTTCTATATTTGTAACAATTCCGCCATATAACAAAATTGATTATGGCGACTATACGCCAATGACAATACGCAAAGGACGACATCGCTTAAAATCTGCAACACAATCATCAGCAACAGTTGCCACCTCAGCACCAAATTCTACTAGTTTTATTCGTCCTCTCGCTTTTGAGCCAACTAGTGATAACATAGCATGGGTTGGTACAGTTCTAATAAGTCTTCCAGGTAAATATAAAGCTCCGGTAGGGTTAGCATTAGGGTCAACACTTATTACGTTACCACGACAATATCCACTAATTATTCAATATCCGAGACATATTAATAAACAACAACAGCAAACACATTATAGAAGTTCTCATTTACAACCAGTATCATCTAATAGTATATTGGCATCATCTTCATTAGGTATGGCACCTTCAATTCAAACACAACAACATACGCATGAAATGGGACCCGGTGCTATGGAATTAGGTGATCTGTAATTATCATTTCAGTTAGGTTAAATTATTATTACAAGTCTATAATAGAGCATTGATTTCGTCATTAATTCGTTTATTGAATAATAATTTTTAGGCTTAGAATAGAATAAGTAATTTATAAAGAGAAAAAAACCAATCCTATTTAAGCTTTATATAAATAATGAACCTTTTAAATTTTTCTTTCAAGTACATATTTTCTTTATAAAAATTATTTAAAGTCTAATGAAATCTTTTTTTAAGCCTTATCCAATGAAATTTACTACTTAAAATTAAGAACTTTATTTAATTTTTTACCATTAAAAATCGTAAAATTATTTATGTACTTTTATGTTTTTAAAAGGATATTTAAACTTATTAAGTTTAAATGATTATGATATTTCGAAATTTAAAATTGTGATATTTAAGTATCTTTTGATTTGAGTAATTAGTTTTTAAGTAAATAAAATTAATGAATCTTCACATAAATATAATACATATATGTATATATGTAAAGATAACCTTACCAATATTTTTGGATTCAATGCTCTTATGTTTTCAATTAAACTCAAACTTTAAAATTGGTCTAATGACTGACAGTGGTTATTTTCTTTTTGAGTATAATTTATTGTTTTCATTTTTAATATTGTAAATTTTAAGTGCGATGGTTTTTATATTCTCAGCAATGATGTAGTTAGAAATTACAACCTACTACTAAAATAAATTATTTACTCTAAGTTTTATTAAAATTAGAATGGCAAAGTTTAGGTTTAGTTAATTATCAAGAGAAGCATCACATCAATCTATAAACACGTATTTGCTATAAAAATGGTAATGATTTTAAGATTTTGGTTCGTACTCATACACATTTGGTGAAGTGTTTTTATTTAGTTTTTTTTTAATGGGCTTATAGTTGCCATTAATTATATAATATAACTTTGTAAAAATTAAAATAGTCTAAAGTAAAATTAAATCGGATAGTCTTTTTTCCATAATCAATACACTATAAAATTGTGATCTACTTAGTATTCATGTATTATTATATTATTTTTTTTTTTTTTTTTAAATACATGAATTGCAATAACAGAAGAAAGCTGGATTGGTTAAGAAATATAAAAATAATATTGTCATTTGTTAGATTGTACATGTAAAATTGCAATTATAATTTTATCAGCATTTTTAATGCATAAATTGTAAGAAAGAAGAAGCGTTAATTGTAAGAAAATCATAAGCATGAGAAACAAAAATCATAAGCTGGATTTATTTGCTTTTTGTACATGTTTAATTTCCTATATAACTTTTCTCAAAAGCATAAAAAATTGCCTTTTTTTATTTTGTATGTATGTATGTGGTTAGAAAAATAATTAGTTTTCAATAATTTAAAATTTTATTGCCGTTGAGTTTAAAAAAAATGATTAAATTACATAAATTGAATATTAATTTTCTTGAATAAAAATGTTTATATTGAAAAAATATAAAAATAATATTGAAATTTAGTAAAATAAAAATTAATTTTAAATAAATACTAGAAATTTGCTCAACTGCTCAATTATGAATATTTATTCTTTTCTTTAAGGTTTTGATATTTTATTACAAATTAAAACTTAAAAAAAAATTTAGAGCAATTACAAAAAGAATTGTAAAATTAAATTGTAAAAATTAGGCAAGCTTAAAAAAATTTATCATGAAAAGATTTCATTTGCTATTAAAATTCAAATACATATAATAATTAATGAAATTATCTATACATATATGAAATTTAATAAATATAGTGCACGATTTTAAAAACATTACAGATTTAAATTAAAATAAAGTAGCAAATTTGAGACTAGACATCAGAGAAACGTTTTCAAATTTAATATAACCTAGATACTGTACAAGTTTCGTGTGCTAAATTTATATGATTTCTTGATGATCTACAATTTTTAAACAATCATTAAAATTGTAGTAAAATCCATTTTTTAAGCTTTGTCTATTTTTAAAATTGGACTTTTACTATATTTTAATCAATAATCAAAGTGTTAAATATTCTTTATAAAGCGCTTTTAAATACATATATATTTTCAAAATCTACTTTTCTTTAAAACGGATAGAATTTCCTATTTTTTCAGTACATTATGAAAGTATTTGTAATTTTGTTTATATTTCGATTTCTAAATTATATTATTTACCTAGTTATACAAAAATTTGCGTCAAAACTTTGCATTAAGGTACCTCTTTAGTACATAATTAAACTAGTAAATATAAAATATACTATTTAGGTAATAGTAAAAAATGAAACTAAATAAATTTATGAAGACACGATACAAAAAATAATTATATAAATATTTATGTATAAAACTGTGAAAAAAAATGTATGTATGTATCTAAGCAAATAAAAATTTCATTAAAATTTATGTTAGGACTTTTTTATTTAAAAATTTAGTTCAAAATGGGAACTTAAAACGACTAACTTCAAAATTCATTGTTTTTATATTTTTTTCAACGTTTTTGTGAATTTGAATTAAAAAAAAAATATAGAACCGTTGTCGTAAAAGAATCCGTCACGCCCATACTGCTTTGTTGTGTTTATAACAGCTCATACACGTAAGAACTAAAATGAACTGGGTTAACCCCACAAGGATGATCGAACTTTAGATCTAAACCATATATAAAAGTCCGCTAGAATGCTAGGTAGGTTTGACATTTGGAAATGTGACGTCGCCGGGTAGAATTTTTTGGTCAAATTTAGTTTTTTCTCGCGTAGACTTGTTTCTTTTGGTATTAAATACTATGCACAAGTGGAAGAATTATAAATTGCAAACTTTAAGTTCAAGATTTATTTAATTATCCTCCTGTGTTGTTTTTTCAATTTTCTTTACACATTCCTTCAATGTTGACGTTCTTGGAAGGGGGAATTGTTTGCTATATAAATATCTGTACGCTCGTGGACCAGCAGAATATAAAGATAATGCAGCCGATATGTCTTCTAAATTCCAATTTACTTTCTTTTTAGGGTTTTTTAATTTTTTAATTTGACCACTGGTAAAAATATTTTGCAGAGAATTTTCCAAATTTCGTAGCTGTTCATTTTCACATGTTAATTTTATTGTTTCATTTTTTAATTCTTCTAATTTGCTTTCTAGTTCTTTTATTTTCTGATCCTTAGCAAATTCGTCTTCAACCCTAAAGAGGAAATATTATTATTGCATTGTATGTTTGTAAATTTTTATTTCAATATAAACACATACTCTTTTTGAACTGAAAATGAACATTTAATTTGTTCGTCGTCAATATCATTTTCATCTTCTGAGCTTTCTAAAAATTCTGCTTCCAAAAACTCTTCTTTTTTGAAACTAAAAATGATTAAATATGTGTGTACAAGTTAGTGTGAACATTTAAAAATATAATATTGGAAATTTTACTTCTTACCTTGAATCAGAGCCTGTTAAAATCTCAACAATTTTTTTGTTAGCTTTTTTCATTGCGCGGCTTTTCTTGTCGATGGATAGGCCATTTTTATGAATATTAATGGTTGGTACAGCCGATGGATCCAATAATCTTTTTTCAATTGGAGTGTTTAACAAAATATCTTTGAGACGCCAATCGCTGTCTGTGAAATGCTGAGAACACACTCTTCCTGTTTTATAATTAATATCTTCCTTCCCACATACACTAATCCACTTTTTCCTTATCTCAGGGTTCCTCGGAAATTTAAAGTATTTGGTTTTTTCATTTTTTTGTTTCCAACTGAAACAATCTTTTACCACACAATACCTCATATGCTATGTACGGAAAGAAATTTAGATACATTTATGTGTAAAATAATATAAAATTAAATTCATAAGTAATGCATTATTTCCCTTACGTCTTTGCTCTGAATTTTGCTCTTTTTATAAAACTAATAAGTTTTTAGTTCAGATTTTAGCATATACGATTACTTCTTTTACTAATTTAAAAGAACTTTTTAATATCGATGATATACAATATAGAAATTCAAAATGCTTCTACCCGATTACGACACCATTCATTTAAAAAATAAAATTGCTAATTAAACAGCTGATAAATTGTTAGTGGTAACCTTAAGGGTTTTGTAAATAAAAATTACCGCATTGACAATACATTATACCGCGCGGTATTATTTATTTATTACTACAAAAAATTGTTCGAATAACACGTCAAAATTAGATAAAATAAATTTTTAGCTACTAAATCGTATGTTTGCTGCAGGAAATCTGAATTCCTGCTATCGCATACCGCATATGGTTCTCGGAATTTTGATTAACCGTTTAGACTCAAATTCAACTCCACCTATTGCAATTTTTGTGGAACACCATATCTACAAACAAAAATGCAAAATTTTTTTTACAAACTTGTACTAAAAATTGAGTTCATTTTATATACATACAAATTCGGCAAAAAAATATGTAAAAAATTGTAAAAGAGAAAAGTTTCTTGAAGAATATTTAAGAATATAATCCAAGAATAATTATTTTTATATTTGAAGAATAATATTTGTAATAAATTTGGAAAAATAAACCAATAAATATTTGCTAATGTATTTAATTTTATTCATTGCGATAATTAGTTTGTCATTTTTTTTTAAAATTAAAGTAACCATTACTGGATAGGAATAATTAAACATTTATTTAAGCCAGCTAAAATTGCAATATATAATAAGTCTGAATATGTAAATACTACGATTTTAAATAGAAATCCGAAATTCAAATTAACACGAAAAAAATCGTAAATTGGGATTGTTGTACTATATTAATTGTTGAAATATATTTGTATGAAATTCAACATATCATGCAGAATTTTTAATAAAATGTATGACATTAACATCACTCTCATATAATTCTTAAATGCCAGATTTAAATGTCATGAAAGGAAAATAAAAATGAATTTAGTGTGAATGTGTGGTATGTGGTTTTCAAAGCCAATATAAAACAAACGAAAGGAATAAGTATTTCTTAAATAATTTTTGCAGCTTGACAGTCAGTTTGTGTTCATGCTCAAATAAGTAGTAAATTGAAATTTATTTTCCTTTGTATTTAAATTAAATTCATTTAAAATCAAGAACAATTATAAATAAAGTGACAAACAATTTTTTGTATAAACTGTTAAAGAAATTTGATTGAAAAAAATTACATATTTTTAAATTAAAAATAAATGAACAAGAAATTCATAATGTTGATTAGAAAAAAAACATAAAATTTGCTACAGTTCAAATTAAAAAAAAAAATTTTTAGCTACAATGTGTTCTTAACCATTAAAAATTAATTTATTTCTATTCCAATATATTAAAATTTTCATTTTTATATACAAATGATAGAATTTCGTTAAGTGAGTCACGTCACGGTCAAAGAGCTTGCCAAAAAAACTGGAGAAACAGCCATTGAATTCAGTTTCTAATAAGACAAAGAAATTTTTTAAAGTTTTTCTTTTTATGCAATGTTTCAAAAATTACAGAAGTATACCTAGTCATTTAATTTCGTTATAACTACCTCAACATATCACATAATCTTCAAATAATTATCAACATTAAATAAATCAATATCTGTTCGAGAGCGTCGAGAAGGCAAAATTGACATTAAGAAATACGTTTTCCAGTTTTCACATAAAAATTTCAATTTAATTCAAACTGCTTAATTGTTTAATAGCTGCAAATATTCATAAAAATTCTACTCTTTAAAATTTGGTACAGGTAAGTTTTCATCATTTATTTAATCTATATGTATGCTTTGTGTAATATTGTTAAGAAGCCGATAAGTATGTCAGTATATATTTACATTTTAGACGACATTTCATGAATGAAAGTTCAGTATATTAACACAATATTTGTATATATACATACATAACTAGTTTGTGGCAAATTTTATATAAGTATAACTTTTTATTATTAATCAAACGATTTTTATATAAATCAGACAGATAATAAACAAAATCATACATAAAATTGAAACTGAAATTTCCAATTAGGTACCTACTTATTTCTAATACCAAAACTACAGGTAGTTTAAAAAAAATTTTTTTTTAAAGTCGAAAAAAATTTTCATAACGACTTAATTACTTATGTATCTATATTTATACATTTACTTACAAATTATTACTTCATCTGATATGTAGCTGACGTCATCTTACAATTTAAACCTATAGCTTAAATAAAAAAGTTAAATATAAGGATACAAAAAGTAAAGTATTTGAACATCGTATTTATAAATTCTTTATTTTGTGAATAAACAATGGTTCATAAACCTCAGAAACACAACAGATTTGCAATATATGTATATAAGTTATACCTAGTTCACACATACATATATACATACATTGTTATCATTGCCACGTATATAAACCTTTAACTTACAAAAATTTCTATATGTGCTTAAATTTATGGTTGCAGTAAGTAGGTATAGGGTTTTTTTCATTATAATATTTATAGGTTGTATTGGATTTTAATATTATTTATTGAAGAAGAAATATGTATCTGGTCTTAATACTTCTGGTAGTATTGAAGAAAATTGGGAACTACTTAATGCCTCTATTCTGTATTAAGTGTTAAAGACCTATAATATGTATGGGTTGACATTTAATATTCGCCCGTTAGATTAATTAACAATTCATTTATTTGAACGTCCTTAATACTAAATTTGTCATTAAGTTCAAGAGGCAGTTATTTAATTCAAATGAAAAGATTTCTTGCAATTTTATTTTAATAAAATTTAATTGAGAGTATTCGACAAAAAATTGTATTAACATTCAATTAAAAATTGGGAACTAAAATCAAAAGTGGATTTAAATAAATTCAACTTTCTTTTCATTTAATTATTATCGATACCTTTTACTTTCTTACACTTGACTTGCTCAATCGATTAACTATTGTGTGCAATTTGTAAACATTCTCAATCAAAATGATTCTATTTTATTCCTCCAATGCTCGTATAAAATTAAGTACAAGAATCTTTATATTTTTTATAATCATAAATTTTTCTTGTACTTTTTTATGCCCGCTCTCTTTTTTTATTGCTTTTTCATTATATTTTACTTTTAAGATAAAATAAATGCAGTTGTCTTCGAAAGATTATTGACCGTCTATAGAAATATAAAACTTTTTTTTTAGATGAAAAACAAAAATCAAGAAGTTGCTTTTTTAATAAATAAAAAAAACAATTTTTTTTTATTTAGTTCAAATTATTTTTATGAGTATGCATGCTTATATAATTTTTGTTTCTTTTTTGCAATTCAGTTTTTGGAACATAAAATGAGGTCTTTGATCGCCGTTTTATAAGTTCAAACAACAGTTTATTATAAAATATATAATTATGTTGCTCCCTTTATTTAAAAAAATAATATGTTCCTCCTGTTATTATATAAGTGAAAAAAATCAGAAAATAATTAATGCACGTGTATTCCTCTTTCCAATCTTAAGCTTACCCATAAAATGCACTCTACAAAGAGTATATTAAATGAAATCAAAACACATAATATATGTACATATGTACTTACATTTCTGACTTCTATATTTATATCTACGAAATTTACTTACTTTGCTTGATTTTACGGAACAAAATTTCAGAATTAGTTTTCTTTTCACACTTTATTTTGTATTATTCCATAGTTGTTATTCTATAAACCCACCCATTTGACTGTTAATTATAGCAATAAATGCGACGCTAAAAATACGATGACCCCATAAAATTTTTGATTTGTAATTAAAATATTTTGCAATTTTTATTACATTTTTGCACTTAAGTTTAGAAATTTCGCTAATTAGATTATGATTGCATTGAAATTTTCATGATCTTTCGATATATTCCACTGTTTATTCATTTATTGTGTGTTTCTTAAGCTATGCATTTGAAATGTAGTTGAATATTTAATAGGCTAATAACTAGTATTGACAAACTGCATATGAAAATGTACTTAGTATAAAGGTACTCTTGGCTAGCTGCAGATAAATAGAATAAAAACAACGCGTTTATTTTAATCTCAATTATTTTGTAACTTTCTTAAGACTCAATAGTCAATGTACAATATGGTATACTAAAACATATTGAGAGAAATTATGCTTTAATGTGGTGAATAAGTGGTTGTGCCGTTTGATAACTGTTATAAAGCGATGAAATGTGAAACAACTTCACACTTAGTACTTATGCGTTTTTAAAATTTAATTTAAATAAATAAGTACTTCATATTAAGTAAGTATGTGTAAAATTAAAAAAAAACTATATAATTGTAATCATTAGAAAATAACAATTAAAAATTGTATAAATCGCTTGTAATATTCAATGTTATTTATTGTAAAATGTAAACATTACAAACACGTAGCCAATTCTAATTTATATAATATGTATGTATGTTTATAGCATAAAGTATAACATAAACAGCAAAAATATACAAAAAAAAATCATTTGGCACACCATTCTAAAGTTTTATTTTTATATTTTTCAAAGAAATTTTGTTTATGTTTATTTGTTAAATTTTTTCACGGAAGGAACTTTTCTATGTTGTACCTACTCACTTTTTGTTACGTATTTTATTTGCAAGACTTTTTTAATAATAAACTTGAAATATACTTGGTACGAGTATAAGAATCTACTTAAGAATAACAAAACTTTTACTCGTGCTTTGGTTGTATTTAGAAAAAAATTAAAATTTGTATTTGTTAGTTATGAGTATAGTTTGAATTGCGAAAGACTGTGCAAAAAATTGAAAGTTTTGCGTAAATTTTAATTGTTTCAATATTTTTTTTTAAACAATAAATAATCACTACTTATACTTATCTTGAAAATTTTTAAGATTTTGCTAAAGAATTTTAAATAGTTTGTTTAAGCACTTATTTAATCTTAATTTCTTTTCAATTATGGTGAATAAATATTTATGTACATATAGAGTAAAGATTTTCTAACAAGTGCTCAAATAATTAAAAAATATTTATTGTATATATGACGTTCATTAAGATAAGGAAAGTAGTTTTAACTTATAATTATAAATTCTCAATTTACGTACGTTTTTTTTATTTAAGTTGTTTGTTTTACATGATATTTAATTTTAAAAATAACTCCTTTTAAGTAATTATTTGATTGGAATTAATTTATTTGCAAAAAAAATTATACACAATTGACTAGTGTTGTTCTCAATTTTCATTAATAACAATTCTTTATTAACAAAGTGAATTTGAAAAAAAAAATAAATCAGGTGTTTATTATTAAGAAAAAAAAAAAGAAGTGTTTAAGACCTAACATTTGTGTTTTTGGCTAAAATTATACTTAATTAAAATAAAAACAAAAAGTGGGCGTGTATTGCGTTATAATAGATTTATAACTGACTACATAAAATATACATAAGTATGTACCTACATATACTACAGGTATATAAAGTTTTGATGTATGCATACGTATATACAGAATAGTTTGACCTTGAAATAAAGTTTTGGCATCAAGTGTCGCAATAGCTTTTTTTAAGCGCATAAGAAATAATATTAAACTTTGTTTAAATTGCAAAACAAAGTGTTGTCACTGTCATCGAAAAAAAATAATTTTAAATTTAAAGAAATAAGTAAGAAGTTTTTCTGAGCCAAAACTTTTTTCTAATTTATTATTTTTTATAATTTTAAACTAATTATGTAATATTTTAGATACAGTATTTTAAATTTTGGAAAAACGAAAAGTAAACTATTGTTCTGTGTGTGTGTAATTGTGTTTTACCAAAATCGTGTAAGTTTGTACATATGTAAAATCATTATACACAAATATATATGTACGCATATTCATAATAGGTATAATAAAAAAAATGCTGAATAATCAAAATCTAAAAAAAATAAATTTTGGTTCTTTATATTAAGCGTTATATTTACACGTGCCGCAATATTTTTGTACAATCGAATGGTCGTTATTTAATAGTAGGAACTATAATAAGTGTTTCAAAAGCAAAATATAAAAAAGGGAGAAAAAAGTTCAAACTTCAATTACGATAATATAAACTTTAAATTAAAACCTTTGTTTTGTAATTCTAAAGAATGCAAGTCCACAATGAAAAAATTTTCTTATGTTTACATAAGGTGTATGTACGTTGCAGATTCGTACGTTTCATTGCATTAATATTAGAAAATTGGAAAATGAAAATTTAAAAAGTTAAAATTGTATGCTTTCTTTTTGCTTAATATTTTTCAAATTTTCGACAAATATTAAAGTGCTTTGTTTTGATTGATTTTATTACTATTACTTTTTATAATAACTAAATTTAAAATTACCCGACAAACGGAGCTGTGAAAATACTCAATAAAACGACCTACCTTCGAATACCCTTTAGAATTAATAAAATTATTCGTTGTCATGCAATTCATTATTTCAATTTTTAAGGGATTTGCGTTTTGTTTTTAAATATTTTAAAAAGATTCTTACTTATTAATTAATTTTTGAAACGTAAAACACTTTAAATTAATTGCAATTTCATTTAAAAAAAATTTTAATTTAATTAATGACCGCTCCCTTGAACTACAACTGTTTTTACTAAATGAATACTATACAATTTTTTAATTAGTATTTTAATGAAATTTTTTTGTTTTATTTTTACAATTTATTATTACAATTTTATGTAAAAATTTCACTCCTTCAATGCATGTATAAGATCAGTAAATGCAATTACTTTTAATTTTACATTGAATAGGTACTTTTCAAATACTCTTGCAATAATTACTACTTTTACGAGTATTTTATTTAATACTTTATAGTTCTCTCAGGTCAAAATACGAGTATGTTTTCTTGTGCTCGTATGCGTGCATATTAAAAATTTTTTCCTTGTATTTTACAATTATTATGTAGACTTTTCAGTCCATACGCAAATAGGTATTTGTGATTCAAATTAATCGGATTGTTCGTTTTCATTTATTTTAGGATACCATAAATTTAATAATAACACCTAATTCACAGAGATCTTAAACAAATTAAAAATATAATTAATAACATGTTTCTACTATGTATTATTACTATGTTATATTCCGAGTAAAAATTCTAATTTATCGGTCAATGCATTTTTGCTGAAAGCAATGGATTTATATATAAATAATAATAAACACGTTAGCCTAATGCAGTTGGCCTTATCAACGTAATAAATGAACTACAATTAATGGCTTTACGATTAGTCTTTCAACTGATTTTTATAATTATAATAGAGATAACATTTTAAACTGTTTTATAATATTTGAAGGGCAAAGAGTGTTATTATCAGCTAAGAAAAATAAAAAAAAAAAACAATTAAACCGACAAATCATATTGTTTGATACACAAGCTAAAAAAACTTCTTTGTCACCTTTTTTTTCTTTTAAATTAAAAATTAAATTTAATTATTATTTGTTGGTTATTTTTGACCAACATTGATTTTGTTCTTTTCTAAACAAAAAAATTTTTCTCTTGTTGAAATTCGTGTTTGTGTATAAGAAACAAACAAATTTTTTTGTGTAAGAAAAAACAAATTCTCTGAAATATCGTTTATTATTTTATTCCTGTAGCCAAATTCAAAGTTCATATCAAGGTCACTGCTATATACAAATTAACAGCTTAATCATTGATATTCAATTTGTTTTTTCAAACTTAATATGAGACCAAATCTTGAGTATTTGCGAATTGTATTTTTTATACATACATATGTATGTATTAGCTCACCATAAAATAAGAAAATAATTGGAAATTTGCCATTTCTCTCTTTTTTTTCTAATTTTAAGTTGTTCGCGAAAATTATATGTATGTACTCACTTTTCATTTTTAAAATAAGGAAATTTGCAAATAAAGAGAAGAAAAGTTGATAAGTAATTATGTATTGAGGAATTGTTAAGGTTGAAGTATAAGAAATCTGCAGTATAAAGAAGCAACGAAGTTCCTTGTTTAAGCGAAAGATCAAAATAGAAAAATACATAATTGAGTTGTGGTAGTTTTGGACAATGTATATAAGTAGGTGCTTATCTACGTACAGGCATTAAAAAAAACCATTTTATGAGTTAAAGTTAAATTTTTTTTAAAAAATTAAAAAAAAATATATTTTTCAAAATAGTATTTAACGAATTTTTGAATTATATTACCAAATCGCATAATTAAAATAAATTTCAATCTGTTTTATAAAACATGCTCCCTCCCGTCTGAAAAATATTAATTAATAAAATAAAATTTCAAAAGTTTTTTCAATAATGATTGTACTTGTTAGTAGTCTTAGGACAACAAAAGCTGGTAATGTAACATAATATTCAATAATGAATCGATAAATCAAATTCCAGAGACCATTCTAAAGATTTTAGAGATGTAGTTGCGTTTAAAAATTTTTTTCGTAAATAATTCATTCATACTTGTTAACAATAAAATTTAATACTGATAGTATTCATTACAAAATAAAATATTTAATTATAACAATCTTAATTTTAAATTTCAGATAAAATTACATTTCATTGAATTAGAAATCGTAAAGTAGAACAAATTTCTTCCGTAATACTCGTATTTAATTTCCTTTAAATCACAGTAACAAAAAAAAAGTCAAAGCGAATTTATTACAAATATTTGCATAATCTACAAAATAATAAGTTATTGAAATCAAGGGAAAAAAATATATTTAATCAAAATGCAGAATTGGTTTTATGTTGATGATGTTGCCGAACATGAATGTCATCTGCAACAACCAAGTTCCAGTTCAACTTCATCTTTAGAAACGAATTCATCTGTAAGAACAACTAAATGGCATTTTTTGGTAGTTGTACATCAACCATTACAACCTAATGAAAAATTGGCAATAACCGGTGATTGTACATCGTTAGGCAATTGGCAATTAGAAAAATGCCTTGTAATGAATAAGGATAAGGATGATGGTGAGTTGGTTGTTTTTTTAGTTATTATAGTTAAGAGTCCGGAGCATCTGATAAGTTTTAATTTTTCATTTCAACATTTTAACTAGTTAGTTTCTTAATAAAATGATCGTGTATTTCGTGATCGTTTCTCGTCAAGAGAGAAAAAGTGTACATGCGTACAAGATTTACAGGCTATAGATTTCGATATTTTGCTAAAATTTTTATTAAAATTTTTTTCATTTGAATTTTATAAAATTATTTGATATTGTCGTTAAAACGAAATAAACAAGTTATGATATTAAAAATTTAAAAATTTTAATTCTAATTATAATTTTTACGAAAAACATTTTAAATGTGTAGGTACGTAAGATATGTATAACAGAATATAATTATGTAGAAGAATATTGTAACGTTATTTTAAGCTTTTATAAAAATTTTATTTTGAAATTTTTTTTTTCGTTTATTTACTTTTTAATTTATTCATTTATCAAAAGTGATTCGAAGAGCTTTTACTATATTTTTATAGTGTGACTGTATTTATTATATGCGTATATATTTAATATATGTAGCTATGTGGCTTAAAAAAATACACGAAAACAGAAACGTGACATATTTTTTAAATTAAAAACAAAAACAACCAGTTTACGATTGAACTTTGATCGAAAATTTCAAATTTTTATAAACAAAGCATTTATGTGCTCATATATTGATAGAAATTTGCCCATTTTATTATGTATTCAAATTTATAATGATAATAAACTGAAAAATATTATTGTGTTTCAGGATTTCAGAAGAAAGACCGTGTTTAATGTGCTAATAATTTTTCATTTGTTTACTTTTAATATTCTAGTAGACAATTCTATATGTTTTACAAATAATCATACAAATAAGATGCAGAAAAAAATTAAATATTAAAGGTTTTTTAAAACTAAAACTACCATTTAATTGTGGAGCATTTAAAGTTTCATGAAAATGAATAAATCTATTCTTCTATATTAAAAGTAAATTCTTCCGAATCGTAGCATTTTATCCAAATTAATAATAATTTTCTAATTGGTTTTTTACCTGTCGCAGATTCTGTATCGATTTTGTATTTTTAAAGCATATCTGTGCATTATTTCACTTTTCCGAACGTACAAACACTAAATTAATAGTATTTTACCAATAGTACTATCAACAAAATATTTTTAATTAAAATAGACCATCTTAATGTTTACTTAATTGAAAAAAATAAAATAATTATAGGTACATCCTACTATGAAATGTACCTAATGTATTTACTTGTTTCTACAAATTTAGATTTTAAATAGTAAATATAGCAATTTAATATTTTAAAACTTGATTATTAAATTTTTCAATGAAAATATGCGTTTTTTGTTTTGCACCAGTGTTAGTGCATAAATAATTATACCAAGGACATAAAATTATATGTTATTTTTACATGTATATTTGTCTATTATGTATTTAAATAAAAAATCATCCAATTATAATGAAAAACCATGAGTATAGTACTGATTCTTACTATTTATTTGTTGTATTTAGTTTTTAGAAATGATTTTTCTAAAACTGTTTAGCAATTTTTAGTGCTATGCTCAATAACAAGTCATAATATTAAATTATTTGAGATGGCCTAAATTCAAACTATTAAAACTTATGTAAAATTAATGAAAGGTACCTCATTGTAGTAATAGACAGTCTAAAATTGTGACATCAATTTTATAATAATCGGACAATAACATGATATAACACTTTCATTTTCTTTTAGATCAGTCATATACATACATATTTTTATAAGCCATGCATTTAATATAAAGTACGGGAATAAAACAAAATGTTTCATACAAAGAAACCTAGAAATATATTTCAATGTATTTTGATATATGCATATGTGTTTGGTTCGTATAAATACATATTTTCATATACATATGTATATATATAATTTGTGAAATAACGTCGAATCGCGTTAAATACTTAAATTAAATTTTTAATAGAATATGTCTCATTTATATTGTACATAATGTTAAGCTTATATTGAATATTTGATCTAATACATAACAATTTAAAGTTTTCTGACCTTTATTTGAAAATAAGTTCAATACGATTATAAAACTATATTTCCATATATTGCAATATGTCGAGTAATAAGAAACAATAAACTAAATTAAACACGTGATTGCTTTTATATTAAATGGTAAAGTCTCGATACTGCCGACGTTTCAATAGAAAATTCAAATATACTTTTTATTTTATAGAATTTTCATGTAGGATAAGTTAAAAAAAATATATATCTAATATATATATAATATATGTATATCAAATTATTTTATTAGAGTTCAAGAAATCAGCTCAAGCGATTGTGTAATATAAAAGGGATGTTAGTTAATAATACTATGTTGATTATTATAATAAAAAATTAATTATTTTGAAAAGTAAATTAAACAATGGCGTAATTTACAAATACTCAAGTTATTGTATAAATATAAGCAAACATTGTATTAATCCCCCAAGAAAAATAATTTTTAAAATGGGAATTCTCATCGTATCTTGTTATAGTTAATTATATTTTAATCTAATTTATTAAATGTAAGATAAGTAATTATTTTTATGTGAACAAAACACTTAATGCAAAACTCAAGTGAAGACTTTTTTTTATTTTTTATCAGGGTTAGTAAATATTTTTAAATATAAGAAAGTAAATAATTTTGAAAAGACAAAAGAAAACAAAAACATTCCCTCTTATTTTTTCTATCTAAAGTTTTTAATATTTATTTTGTTGTGAAGCATTTAAAAATTGATGACATCCTAGAAATTTTGCAAAAATTTTTAGAAGAATAATAGGAAAGTTAAAAGTAAAGAGGAATTCATATAAATCTCATGCCGAATAAAGTGCTTTATTTATCCACAGATGAAACAATTTTAAAAATAATTCATTGATAAAAAAATTATTATTACGTAAAGGTCACACACAATGTACTATGTAATATTAAAGTTTTTTTTTACATTTCCTCATTAAATTTTCTTAACAAGATTTAGTTTTTTTAATAATTAATTAATTATATTAAATTACTTATACTTAAATATTCTTAATTAAAGATTAATTAAGTAATTGCATTTTGAAATATTTACGAAACTAAACTATTGAAAAAACAAATTCATAATCTATTAACAAATTAAAAGTAATTTAAAAGATATTAGGAATTTTATATAATCAAATTAATCCAAATTGTAAAATCTAGTAGGAACCCTCTGTGATGTCGAATATTTTCTTGACTCATCTAATATTCAAACAATTTTCCATATTAAATTTATTTTTTAAGATATTTTAAATAATTTATTTTTGAAAGTATCTTAATATAATTCAAAAGTTTCGTGAAATTTAAAAAAAAAATGTTTTAAATTTTTGTAAATGGTTAACAAAATTTTGATCATGTTATTGGAAATATCAAGTTAACTTTTTAAATTCGTTGGTTAAACCTTAAACATTTTATATTGTTTGTCTTTTACTTTTGTTTTATATTACACACCTATACCCTGCTTTACAAAAAAGATAATTTCATCAAACGTGAAAAATAAAAATACGAGTAACAAAATTATTAAAATAAAAAAATTTATTTATTAATAATTTATTTTAAATGTAAGCAATGATAAAAGTTCTTTCTTTTGTTCATTTTCTATAATTAATCGCTTTGAAAGCAAAATTTTGAAATATTAAAAGATTTCAAGCAAATTTCTGTTTTGGCATTTTTATCGTCACACATGTATAATTAAAATTAAAATTTTTTCATATTCAGAAAGAATATGAAAAAAAGGTGTTTATATAAAATTATTAAACATTTTTTTTAAATTGGAATTTTAAAAATCATGAAGATTGTAATTTGTTAAACGCGTAACGTGCTGAACAGGGAATAAGGGTACAATCATAAAGCAACATCTAATAACCTCGTTTATTTGAAACAAAAAAAATATAATCAGGGTTTTTTTTTGTTTATACCTACCAGTAAATAAAAATTGTTTAAAAACTTCTTAAAATTGAATTATCTCTAAAAAGCGATTTAGTTTAAACCAGATTTAATTAAAATACATACATACATACGAGTATATTTGCATATTACGTACACGAAAGCATATTAATCCAATATATTTATGTACCTACATAAATTTATACGAGTACATATTAATCAATATTTAATTTTGATTAAGTTGCTTTATTAAGCAAAATATTGGTACTTACATAATATACATACATATATGTATGTATATACATATTATATTTATTCATATAACCTGGTAATATTGTTGGTATTTTACATTGATTTTATTTTACCAGAATTTTTTGCTATATTAAAAAATCATCTACCAAAAAACCGAACTTTGAAATTTTAGACGTAAATTTGCGAGCTTTGTTTGTCAATAAAATGAAAAAAAACAAACATAAAGAAAAAGAATGTACCACACAACACGGTGCTTGTTTTTTGTTTACACGAACAACTACTCGAAGAGAATTTTTTAAAGCTTTTTCAAAACACATGTTGAGATTAAGTAGATACCACGTGCACGAAATTTTTCGTCATCGAAAATTCACTCTAAAATTACATACATACTTATTTATTAGACAATTTTTAACAATTTGTAAAACACTGAGCATGAGCACTAATTACATTAAATTATTTATTTTATAAAACTTTTTACATGAGCACATGAAAACATTCAAATAATATGTAAAGCTTTGCGTATACCTACATACATGAGATTCAAAAATGAAAATCAGTTCTAAAATTAATACCGGAAAAATACACAAAAAACATATGGAAGTAGTAAACACTGACACTAGAAATAATATTTTATCTAACGCAACATTATACGAGACAACACAGTTGTATGGGATCATCTTCATAAAGTTTGAATAAAAAATTCACAGTTGTTGTTGTTCTGCACAATGTGTGTACATTCATAAAATGTATATTAAAGTTGTTATTTATACATAATATAATAGCGTTCTCAAGTATTATTATTGTTTCCAGTGAAAATTTCACTTGAACTTAAAACTATTGATGGCAAAAACTTTCATGTCAATTTCTGTCGCAATTATTACAAATCTTTAAAACCATTATTAAATTTCCGGTTTAACTGAAACCCCCTATTGAAATTTAAATTTCATATTTTCTTTTTTTTTTAAGTTTCTAAACATTTTTTTTACATATTTACTCGCCAATATAGGTTAAGATATTCAATTCCAAAATCTAAATATATTCATTGTTAATTAATTTTTTCTTTTGTTAAATTTTATTCAAAATATTATAAAAGTGTGAAAATAATAAAAATATTAATGCTCAAAAGTTTTTTGAACTATATTTATTTTTGAGTTCCTACTGAAATTAAAACTTCCTATTAAAGAGTGATAATAAAAAAAACTTGTTTACCTAAATAGATATAGTGTATATGTATGTAGATACATATAGTAATAAAAATATATATATATATATGAATGGAAATATACAACTATACATATCATGCCAAAAATTAATTTCTCTTTTGACAATGTCATCTACAGTCTACTTTTTCTATGTATAGTATTTGTATAACGTTAGATTTCAATTTTGACATTTTTTTCTTTATTTTATTTCCGGATTTTTAATGACGTCAAATTTTTTATTCAGTTATAATATTTATACCCGTACGAACGTATGTTCGAAGGGTATACTAAATTTGCCTTACCGTTTGTAACGCTAAGAAATAACGATCTTAGATATAGACTCAAGTGTATGTTTTTGATCAGCGTCGAATTTTGAGTTGATTTAGCTTTGTCTGTCCGTCTGTTCCGTCCGTCCCAGCGATAACTCAAAAACTAATTGGGCTAACTTCACCAAATTTTCATAAATGATTTATTGTAGTAAGTGTCAGAGCTCTATTTAAACTGAGCATGACCGGAGCACCGTTTATTACGGTACTTACCGTTTGTAACGCTAAGAAATAACGGTCTTAGATATAGACTCAAGTGTATGTTTTTGATCAGCGTCGAATTCTGAGTTGATTTAGCCTTGTCTGTCCGTCCGTCCCAGCGATAACTCAAAAACTAAATGGGCTAACTTCACCAAATTTTCACAAATAATTTATTGTAGTAAGTGCCAGAACTCTATTTAAATTGGACATGACCGGAGTACCATACAACTGCCATACAACTTCAAAATTCATTTGGCTATATCTCGGAAACTATTAAAGCTGTGGTATTGAAATTTCACACAAGTGTATATATATGTGGGCCGATGTGCTTGATAAAACGTGTCAAAATTTCTTGGCTCTTTATGGTAGCTGCCATACAACTTCAATAGGAGTTTGGCACATACAATATTTCGAAGAACACAGTACTGAAATTTTGCATAAATTTCGGTAATACGGCAACTTAAAGTCATAGTCTGTGCCATAGTCAGTTATGGCATATTTATTCGCACGTAGGATAACAAATTCGTACGGGTATCACAAAGCTGCCAAGCACAACTCTATTTTTTCTCGTTTTAATTTAAAACTATTTTAAATTGGAAAATATATTCTAGCAAAACTCAAACCTGTACCAATTTTTGTTTAGCAGTTGATTGCAATTTGCTTTACCAAACGATAGCTGAGTTTAGTTTCGTCACATTTCTGTAAAAATAGCAATTTCTTATTTTATATATGTATGTAGGTTTTTCTGCAGTATTTTTTTTTATCAATAATTTGCGTTACGAAAATTTGTAAGTCTTATTGCTGAAATTTTTAATTGATAATGAAGGATTGCCATCATTAATTTATAAAAGAGTAAGTAATCTATTAAAAACAGTTTGGAGAGTGGAAAAGAAAATAGATTTAAAGACAAATCGATGTACAGTAATGGTTTATGTTCCCTTAAGTAGATTTTTATTATAATAAAATTATATCCAATTGGTAGATATGTACATAATATTAAGATATAAAATACTCTTGAAGAAATTTGAGTTTCAAAATAAATTAAATACAATTTGTAGTAAACGGCAGTAAGTAGCAGTACAGGGCAAAGTAATCCATAACTCTAATCAGGAAACAGCCATTTAATTAAATTAAATATTCAATTCGAATTAATATACAATGTTATGTAAACCAAGTTATATAATATTAAGTCATTCATTGTTTTTCTGGATTTTTAATATATTGTTTTCTTTATTATCTATACGTTTGCAATTTTTAAGCCTTTGAACATGGTTGAATAAAATATTCCAATGTACACATATACGTTTTGAAACGGTGAATGTAACAACTTGACATTTATATTACGTAAATTAAAATTACTTCTGTTTATGCTCAAGTAGCATCTTTGTGTAACAAGAATATTTCATTAAAAATTATGTATATTTATAAAGATTAATCGATTCTATGTAATTTATTCTTTTAAGGCACAACCTATTGGAGTGCAACTGTTGAAAATATACCACGTGACCGGGAAGTACCATACCGATATTTAATATGCGCAATTGATCCAATAAATGATGAAAAAATTGTACGCACTTGGGAGACTCATTTTAATCCGAGGGTGATACCAGTTTTAGATGATCGTTTAGAATCAAACGATGTTTATGGTGAAATTGCTGGTGTGGAAAAAATTGACCGAGGCTGGCTCACCAGCGAAACTGTAATACAATTAAAATTTTTTAATAGTCCTTTTAAATGGAAGCAACGAATGAAAAATCGTCTAGTTTATGTTAAAGTAACACCAATGAGCATTAAAATAAACTGTAATGATACAGCTGTTGCACAACAAACAGCACTTTCTCCACTTGAAGATTCATTATCAAATGATACTCGTGAAAATGGTGGAACAGAAAACCAATCTCTTGCTTTTGCCGAAGTAGTTAATTTTAATTATGAAGAGAGTAATATTAAACCACAATCACAATTTGGTATTCAATGTGGTCCAAGTGATATTGTAATGTTTCATATAACTGTAAAAGATCCAGAAAACACAGCATATTTAATTGATTTATATACGTATAGTTCAAAATCAGATTTAGGTGAACCACCATATCACTTGGGATATCATTATATATTGCCAAATGCTTTGAAACGTTCTGAAGGTGTTCTTGACTTGCCAATTACATGCGCCAGTAAACATCGGCCCATGGGAATGATGCAAGTTGGCTATTTAATCATAAAACCATTTGCTTTCAAATTCGATATGAAAAAAACGTATGAAAGATATTGGAATAAAAAATGGACTGGCCTTGATGTTGGTCATCGAGGTTCAGGTACAAGTTTTAAGGCCAAAGATACTGTCATAAGAGAAAATACTATTGGATCATTAAAGAAAGCTGCTGCTCATGGGGCTGATATGGTTGAATTTGATGTTCAGTTGAGTAAAGATTTAGTCCCTGTAATTTATCATGATTTTCACGTTTATGTATCGTTGAAATCCAAAAAAGAGATTGATATAAATGATTTCTTAGAATTGCCAATGAGAGAATTGACTTTAGAGCAATTGAAAACCTTTAAGGTAATTATTTCTCTTGATACACAAAAATCATCAAAATAACTATATATGCCTATTTTTATCTAGTTACGCTAGATATATGCTCCTTTTCTGTTTTGATATTTTAGGTTTATCATGTTGTAGAGGGAAGAACCCGCGAGCCACGTAATTTTGAGAACGATGATATGAATGAACATCAACCATTTCCACAATTGGCCGATGTTCTTGATGCATTAGATCCACATGTTGGATTTAATATTGAAATAAAATGGTCTCAAGAATTAGTTGATGGTACAATTGAAGCTGAAAACCCAATTGATCGTAATCTATATATCGATTGTATATTAGATGTTGTACTACATAAAGCTGGTCAAAGACGTATCGTATTTTCTTGTTTTGATGCTGATGTATGCTCCATGTTAAGATTCAAACAAAATATATATCCAGTAATGTTTTTAACTTTGGGTGAAACTGAACGTTACGTAAAGTATCGTGACCCACGATGCAATACACTTGAATTAGCTGTGTGTAATGCTAGAGCATTTGAACTTTTAGGTATTGTTGCTCACACAGAAGATTTATTAAAGGATCCATCTAAAGTAATTATTAAGTTCGGATTTTTCGGACTTATTTTTTTGGAAATGGCAAATATTTAAAATTTACTTAATTTCTGTTCCATATTTTTTAGATTAATTTAGCAACAAATCGCGGTCTAATTATATTTTGCTGGGGCGATGATAATAACAGTAAGGATACAATTAAGATGCTAAAATCTATGGGATTGCATGCAATAATTTATGATAAAATGGATGTTTTAACACCAAAAGAAAATCGAGTAAGTTTAAAAGATCCTTACAAATTTTTTTATTAATACAAATTTACCTAAAAATTTACAATTTTCTTTAAGTTGTATTTATAATAATTTAAATTATTATAGAATATATTTTATTATAAATAGGAAAAATAATATAACTTTTACTTAATAAAATATAATTTAACAATATTTTTTTATATTTTTGTTCTATTTTGTTCTCTTCCAAAATGTAATTATTTAAATTGAATACTGCAAGACGAGTGTATTTTTGTTAGTACAAAAGTTTATATTTTAAGTATAATCAAATAATTGCTAAGTTTTTTTTTAAATTTTTTTAAAGCTTTTATTTTTATTTCATTCACTTTGTTACATTTTGAAATAATACTATTGTAATTAACGATGTTATATTTTACTATCTTTAATAAATACAAAAGTTCCAATTTTTCCACAATTTGTCGGAAATTTCGTTTCCTTGATTGTACGGAAAATCAACTACCTTTAAAAACTCCAATAATTTCATATCATACATAAAACAATTACAGTATTTAAATGTGATTATTGCAATTTTTTGGCTTCTTTGAGATTTTGAACTTCACGCTATTATGAAAATTTTAATAAAAGTGTAATTTATGTTCGCACTTTCATATAAGTAATATTTTCACAATTTGCATACGTGACTCTACTTAAAGAAGTCGTTTTTCAGTTTACATTATTCTTTTGTTTCAAAAAAACCTTTTTTAAAAGGATTTGTGGGCATGTGATACTCTGATTAAAATTTGACAAAAATATATTTTGGTAGCCGGATCATTTTATGAACATATTTCTTTTACTTTAATGTAATACTCACTTAAATTATTATTTCTTTTTTTTGCACATAATAACAAACTTATTGTATTAGAAAAACTTCGCTATATTATTAAATAAATATTTGCTTTGTACCATTACACACTTCACTACTGTTTTTTAAATCCTTGTTTCTAATTCATTTTTATTTTCCGATTTCATTGTCATCACATTGCAAAGGAGGAATGTGTATGGCTAACAATTTTTTCATCCTTCTGGTTTATTATTTATTTTGGAATTAATTAGTAGCCTAACAAATTTTTACTTATCGTTGATCAGTTTGCAGTGCTCATGTTAAATTCTCAAGAAAAGTTGCAGACATAATAATCAAACGTATTTGTTTCAATTTTTAAAGAACAAAAAGTAATTAATTTTGAAAACAAACCTCTTTTAAATGCAACACAAAACTGAAAAATGGTTTTTTTATGCAATAAAAAATTTCGTTATAACGCGCCTTTAATAATTAGTTCTAAATTCCGAAGCGATATGTCTGCAATTTGACATTATCAAAAGGCATGTCAAAGTTTCAACTTTATCATATTTAAAGTTTTGCTCTTTTTTTTTAATGAAATTATTTGTTGCCGTCTTTTTTAAAAATCAAATTTTATTTTAAAATAATTTTAGGAAAGTGTCTTCTTAATTCAAGCTAGAGATAAGCAAAGTGAATTTTTCCAATTACAATGTCTTGAATTAGCTGGTAAAAATTGGTATGAAGATCGTAGACCATTACATGATGATGAGAATAGATGCCTTGAATTGGAGAAAGATTGTGATAAAAATGCGTTGTCGACATCAACATCAATTCTGTCGTTAGTAAAGTAATTTTGACAATAATAAACAATCCAACAAAGGCCACGTAAAGAGGAACAAAACATAACTTGAGTTTGATAGGACAATTTTATAGATACATACGTAATTTAATTTTTAATATTAATATTACAAGCCTAATAAACTTCTTTTGTTTTAACTAAATTTATATGTACAATTTATGAAAAATTTATTTTAAATTTTACTTTTAATTATTTTATAAAAAAACAAAACTAAAAATAAAAATTACTAAAAAGAAGACAACCATAAACAATTAATTGAAATAACTTTTAAAACATTTCAAATTACTTTTTTTTTAAATATTTAATACTATTTTGTGTTCGAATTTTTTGATTTAAATAAATGAATTTTATTTTTTTTTATTATTAAATATTCAACAATATTTTTTATCCTAAATATTTATTGTATGTATACTTTGTAATCTTATATCTAGCAATAAATTGTTTTCATTTGCCAATAGATGATATTTTTGAAACGCTTTATACGTAAGAAAAATTAATAAAGAATGTAATAGCATAAATTTATGTAACATGAAAATAAATATTAGACATTTTAGTTTAAATTTTATTATAAATATATAATTTTATATTAAAAAGCTATAAAAAAATGAATTTTCAAACTTCGAAATGTGCACTAATTTTTTATTTTAATAATTTATAAAAAGAATTGTCTTTAAATTATTAAACGTATAATATCTTCGATTAAATCAAAGCTAACTAAAGCAATACAAATTTTAACTAAATAAAAAATTATTCAAAGTATTTAAAATTATAAAAGTGCTAAAGCCGACTTTATAATGTAAACAAAGTATTTTTATTTTATATTTATTGAAATTATTTCATTATGATTTCTTTTACTCGTATATCGTGATATTGAGTTTTGCAATTCTAAGAATTCCAATTACATTCAGTCTAGAATTCTTGAAAAGTATTCAATTTACAATTAATGTTACAAAATTTTATCTAATTAACTTTTTTTATTTAATACAAATTTGTCGAAAATGATACCTTTATTCAATTATCAATATGTATGAGGGAGGCATGAGAAAATATTTTTTTTATAATTCAAACTACATACATCGAGTTCTTAGTGCACATTCGAAATTTTGCGGGATGTTCTACCAAAATAAAATTTATGCAAATTAAATGCTTGTATTTTAACAAATCAAGCTGTACATAAATAATTTAGAAAAAAAATATTTAAAATATAAAAATAAATAGTGAAATGATAAATTCTTATATTTTTGAAAAGGCAATAAATTAAAAATATGCTAAGGTAATTTTTGTTTAATTTTTATAATTTATATTTTTAAGGTATAGGTTTTGAAATCGGAGATTAACAGAAAAGAAATCGAATATTACTTGACACTAATTGAAGAGGATTTACAGAACCATCCTTGGAAAAATGAGATCCAAACAATTAACCGGATATTAGTATAATGAAGAACATCATTTATTTTCCGAAAAAAAGAGCAACACTTTTGTTTATGAAAAACATAATGGTTGAAACTAATTAAAAATCAATGTTCTTTTTGTTAACTTATTTAAAATAATTACAAAACAAATTTGCCATAATTTCTTATATACCTGTTTATGTGTATAAAGATTTGTATTATGTGGGTAAGACTTAAAAGAAAAACAAAAAAAATTCTTTGCCGTATACCATAAAAGCACAAAACAAAAAATATTTAATAATAAAAGTCATTGCACTTTTACCTTGGGTACTTATTTATTATTGCACCGATTTAGTTAGACGATAGTGCTGTGCGAAAAAGAATTATTGGTTACATTTTTTAATTCAATCTTGCAAAGAATAAGTTAATTTAATATACATACTGTAAATGCATATGTTTATGAACCGGAAAATTCGTGACCACAACAATCAATAAAATTTTTACCGGAGCAGGAAATTGTAAATTTCAAAAGCAAACCTGTTAAATTATGTATTTTGTTTTTTTTTTTTGTAGATTTGGAGTTCTGTTTTCGAGGAGCTATAAAATGAGCTTTTCATTTTTGCGTCATTAAAACAGATAAAAACTTTGTATATGTAAAATTCATAGTTTTCGATCAACCTTAAGTTTTATGAGATTTTGAAGCTTTCCATTAAAACAAAGTTGTTACTTGCTTCATTAAATTTAGGTTTCTGTTAGCGTCAAATCTTAAAGAAATGCAATTGAAATTAATAAGAGATAGTTACAGTTTTACTTGGTATATTGAAAAAAGGGAAGTGAAGTGAGGATCTGAAATGGTATTTCCTACCTTTTTATGAGTACCACTCATTTTTCTAAATTACGATCTTAATTTCCTATTGTACACTGATGTTAATTTTCTCTAGGGCAAAATTTGACAAGGAATTAAGATCCCAAACTTTTCACTTTCAAAATTTTCTAGTGTTGTATATAAGAAAATAAATTTTTTTTTAAATACGAATATATCTTAGATAAATCAAATTTTAAAACTGGCAGCACTGTTTGTTGAAAAATTCAACAAAAATTGAAACGGGTATGGTACTCTTTGCAAACAAAACAAAATAAAAAAAAGATAAAGCTTTCTTACAGTTTTCTTGCAGAAACTATAAAAGCGTTAATATCAGAAAAAAATCATGTTAAACGGTTTTAGATTTAATGGTGAATTATTCGCGTAAATTAAAAATTATCGGTTAAATTGAAAATTGAAATATAAGAGCATCACTCTTATTTTTTTTGTGTGTTAACTAGAAATTAAATCTACCTTTTTAATAATTAGACCATTTTTTTAAGTTAGTTAAATAATAAACAGTGCTAAGTTATTTAAAAAAATGAGATTCAGTATTGATTTTAGAATTATTATTAGTTTAGCGGCTATTTTAAATATCTGTTACGGAAAATTACGTGAGTAACAATTCAAAACATCTGAAATGTCTTTGTCTTACAACATCTTATTTATTTAATATTTACTTATTCTTGAATGAAACTAAAATGGAATAGTGAAATAATAAAGCGTTTCTTGATTTACAAGTTTTTAATAAAAGCCAAGAGGGCTTTGAAAATTGTGTTTATTCTGCTTCTTAAAATTGCAATATTTTTTTTTCTACTGTTTTTCATAGTAAATCTACTCAAATCGTACATATTTTATTAAACAAAAGAAAACAAAATTAAATATGAATTTATAGGATTTATCAAAAATAACCAATTCTGAGCTATTATTACGTTTTATTTTCATATTTTAATTAATTTGAGGTCTTAAATCAATAAATATAATCACATGTATCAAATTTTTTACGATGTGGGAAAGATTTATTGTTGTGAAAGCGATTATTACTTAAAATCTTTTACATTAAATAATATAATCTTGTTTAATACAAGGTGATCAACAGAAACTCTTAATGTAAAATGTTTATTTTTGTAGGTTTGAACAGAAGAAAAAATTAAAGTAGTCAATTCCGATAATGCCATTTACATTTTTAATTCATTCCGATATTGTCATTTACTTTTTTATAATTCATTTAGTCTATTCACTAGAGCCAATAACTAAATATATAGTAATATGTAATTTTGTATTATTATTATTATTTTATAAAGTTGTATTTTCCTTAGAGCACTATAAAATAATAAATCTTTAAATTATGTAATACGGTTACTACAACTAGAATATTAAATTTCAAAGTAGTATACTAAATTTTAACTACATTTATGTAATTTACAGCATTTTTTATTACATACAATAATAAAAGAAGAGTTTTTTGGCATAATAATTTTTTATTACCACGAAAAACTACCTTTAAAAGGTCAGATAAAGTTCTGTTGGTTTTATAGAACCGCACTATAAAAATTGATAATGGATAAAATTAAAGATAATTTTTTAAATTCAATGATCGTTTTTCCGGTTGGCAACCTTAAACTTAAATTAAGCACTTAAGAAAGTTCAAAGTGAGTTGAATTTCAATAAGCGATTTAAATATTTTCAATGTTTTTACATCATAAAAGTAAATAAAAAGCTGGTAAATGTATTCTTAAATTTTTATGACATAAAATTGTGTTAGAGTTGCTTAATTATTTCTGTTTTTTGTTTAATTTCACTTTAAAAAACTTAAAAACTGCATTTTAAATTTTTTGCACATCTAGCGGTTTTGTACGTTTTTTGTTCTTTTTTTTTTTGAAATTTTCAACATAACTACTTTGAGTTTCTTTTTTATTCTTTGTTTATATTACATTGACAAGCACATAAAAACACCTGATTGTTTTTATTAGTTTTTTCTAATTTAAACCACCTCTTCGCATAATACATTTTGTTATAAATACAATTATGAGATTAGAACCACATAAAATGTGTAAAATGGGGGCCAAATTGTCAATAAATAACTCAAGTAATGGTAATTATTACATCGGCATATTTAATTTTTATAGTAAATAATTTGTAGCTTGATAAAAATGATGTATTTGACCTATTCAGGAATAAAGTTAACACATTATTTAATATTTGACAAAATTATTATATAATTTTTAATGACGGAATGTACGTTTGATTTTATACAATTTAAGAATGAAAAATATATAGTAAATTTTTGCCATATATGTGGAAAAATTCAGAATATTAATCAAAACAATAAAAATTCTATAGAATGTAATTGAACAAAGAACCCGTTCTTGTTTTAGGTAATAGACGCAAAACCATAAATTGAATATTTTACGCGTACAAGATTTAAATTATTTTTAGCTATTTAAATTTAATTTAAAAAAAATCTAATTATAATAACTTGTAATTTTTATATAATCTTATATTATTTCATTTTCGAATTTCGGATTTGCTTCAATTTATGACTGGTTCTTATGACATAGTATCAGTTTTGTTTACAAAAATGTTTATAACCTATAGAACGTAAATTTTCTGAAAGAATTTTTTGCTTCACATTTTATATACCAGTTAATTTCTGTTTAATTCAAAACAGTTACTTTGTTACCAGAGTTCTATGTAACTATGTAATTAAAAACAAGAATTTGTACGAACACATTAATTCCATATTTAATTATAATTGTTATAAAATCAATAAATTAAAATTGTTCTTAATCTCGTAAAACCGGTTATGTAAAACTAAATTTAATTTGTTTTTATCAGTATTATCTCCAACATATTTCTAAATGTTCATACCATATTTGCAATAAAATGTATGCTCATAAATTTGAACTATATATATAATTATTATAAATAAACATAACTAAGTATCCTTCATATAATTTATTGATAGAAGTAATTATTATTAAATTAAAATTAAATTCAAATTAATTCTTTTTTTCTAATTCACTTTGACAACACAATTAATCAAAATGTTTACATAAAATTCTTATGTCAAAGGTATGGTATTGAATGGTAGAGATGGGTTAATATTATTGTATAATCAAATAGTTAATGTTTTGATGAAATTTTAGTTATTAAAAAAATTGAAAAGGATTTTGAAAATTAGTGTTGATTCTAAGCAAAGATATTAAAAATGAAGATGGTGAAAATTTTCTTAAAATTGTATATTTATGCATAAATTTATGTAAATCTTACAGTTAAAATATACATTCAATTTTTAGAATATCCAATTCTTAGAATTTGATTGCTTTCATTTTTTTTAGAACTATTTATCATACTTCAATTTAGACATTTTATTCTCAAATTAAATAAAGCACAGGCACCATGACATTAATATAAAACTTAAAGATGTATATATACGGTTGAACACGTTTTCGGGCAGAAGCTTTTCTGTTTGTATCGGAAATATAGGGAAAAATTACATCTGGGTAAAAAATGTAATCCATATAAAGGATTCTTGCTTATATAACTGTTTCAAATAAGCGTGTTCGACTGTACATATAAATTTTTTCATGCGTCATGTCCTTCAACATAAATTAAAATGTGATTTAAATATAAATACTAAAATAAATTGTATGCAACATTTTAATAACAAATTGTAAAACAGCTTTTTATTTAATCTTTTACTAATTAATATTACTTAAATAATTCAATATTTTTATACCATATATATACATATTATATTGATTAACATTTTAACTCCATACTTGACTAAATTTCAATAACTTATAAAAATTGAAAAATTTATATTCACACTTACTTGTAAATGACCTTTTTACGTTAAAAATTATTATTGTTTTTGTATTTGTTTTACTTTTAATTACTGTTAAAAACTACTTAAATAATATCAAAAATAAATTTTACTTTTATTCAAATTATTAAAAGTAACTTAATAATAACAAAGTGTATACAAATAAAAAAAGTTAATGAATACATATGAACATTCAAATATTTATTTTCACAAATTAATAGAGATGGAACCTAATTAATTGTAAATATTAATGAATAGCTTGTTAGATTTTTTGTATGAATTAAAATAGGTGGATAAATTATAAAATATTTTGAACTTTCGATATTCATTTTTGAATATTTGAATTCAATTTGGAAGAAAAACTATTCTGCTCGCAAATATTTCTGAAATAAATTTTGGATATTGCTCATTGCATGTTCCAAATGCATGCTACGCCATTATTGCCTAAAATCAGAATATTGTCTATCTAATATTTTGCAAGTTCGAAAAAAAAGAAACAAAATTAAAGGAAAACAAAAAAACTATAAAAACCAAAGCAATTTCCGATTAGATTTTCATGCAAAAATACAAATACCTATTGGTCACACACATTTGTTGTAATATTTTTCAAATGTTTCAAAAATTGTTAAACTTTATGCGAAATCAATGCTTTATAAGTTTTATTTTCTTATTATTTTAGATAATTAATTATTGCAAAACTATTTTTTTTTTCATTTTTTCATTAAAATCATCATAAATTTATTTTATTTTATAGCAAAAAAAATACAGTGAACATTTGTATTTATTTTCCTCACATTATAACTTTATTACATAATATTATATCAGATAATAAGAAATAGAAAAAAAATAAACGCCCTAGAATTTTCAAATATTGCATAAATCTTTATAATGAGAACATATATGTATATAAATTTAAGTATATTTATATTCAGCAAGAGCAACATAAGCAAAATCAACACAAGCAAAGCAAAATGAACATAAGAAATATATTATATGCAAGAAGTGAATTTCAGGTTCATCGCTTAAGTTTTTTGTGTATATTTTGTTTATGTTTTCTCATTTTTGTTATATCATCGGAAGGTAAGGAAAAAAAGCGCCCATATCACAAAGTTGTTTTATATTGAAGAGCTTTTAATAATTCAATGTATATATGTATGTGCACATAGTGTTGCAGTTGAAAAAGTGTAGAATGGAAATGGATCTAACTAGTTTCTTAAAATGCAAGACATGCATTTTTATTTTCATTCAACTTTTTTCATTTTTATTTTGTTTTCTACTTTTTTGAAGCAAATGTAAACAAAATTTTAATAAAATTTTATAAAAAAATATTTTATAATGTCCGTCTAGCAAAATTCAACAAAACTTAATTTCAAAACTTTTACACCTGTTTAACTTGAATAAATTTGCTAAAAGAGTGACATCTGAAAACATTGAAATATTAAAGATTTGTATATAAACTAAATGGCATTAATTTCGAAAATTACTTCATACTCATAAAGGTTTTACTCAGTATGCACATATATTTTTGCATAAGAATCTAAGAATTTTTGATTTGTGTTTGATCAACAATAATTTGAGTGAAATTCAAATCAGAAAAAATTTAATTATACTTCATTTACATATTAGTTTCCTGTAGGAACTTTAATTAGACTTTAAAAGTACGTTCATTTCTGAATTTCTAAAAACAAAGAAAAATATTTTTATTAAATTTAATGCCTAATTTCAAATTACAATTTAATATTTAAATGACATGTTTGTCAATTTTGGTATAAAAATCACATTTTAACGTATATAAAATATGTATAAGGTTTACCTTCACCTGATATAATTTTCTTTAAGTTTTTAACACGTACTCGTACATTCAATTTATATTTAATTTAATATTTTATAATTCTTTATATGTGTATTTATTTGAATATACAAATAAATTTATTTATGTATGTCAAATACAATTGGTATATACTATTTCTGTAGAATTATTGCAATATCAAGTAGATATATACATGTTATAATATCTATAAAGTAGATATTGTCATGTCAGAAACACTAATGTGTTCATATTGTTATGCGGCACTGTACACATTTTAATTTTATATGCTTACGAAATATTCGAAAAAATCATCGAATTTGCTACTATTCTAAATAATTTACACTCTTGTCTGCTTTACATTACTTTATTGATTTTATTGGAAAATGTATTCTATTTATAAAATGATTTTAAATTATAAAAATGTATCACAAACCTATCATATGACATTTTATACTTGACAGTCTCCATATATTCTCCATATATTCAACAGAGATTTTTATTTACAGTGATTTTTGCATATAAATTTATTCTGGAAATCATATGTAGACTTGTTAAATTATATATTCTATATGTTTTATCAGAATTATTATAGATCAATAAAAAACTTGTTTTTGCTATGAAACAGTAGAGTGGTTAATAATTTTATTATTTTTGTAGCAGATGGTAAGCCTAAATTTTGAAATTTGCTTATTTTTTTTGAAATTACATACTTCTAAAGTCAAAGTCAAATTTTTGGCATATATTTTGTATATTGACTGATATATAGTTGAAATTTCAAATTAAAATTCAAGCCAAATACCTTAACGCGCTTTTTTTATTGATTATGAGTTGTGTAAAGAATACTAAACAAGTATTACCAACAAGAATTTTTAGAAAAATAAAGAAAAATTTAAAAAATATAATTGAATTTTTAAAAATTTCAATAAGTTTAGCTCTAAGGAGACAAATCGAACTTCATTTGTCCGTCTTAAGATTCACTAGAAATATTTTCACTGCTATTTAGCATAAACTAATCAAATATAAAATTATATATTAAAAAAGTCAGTATTAGAATGCCTTATCACATTTTGAACAAATTTATATTTTTTTTCACAGCTTCGTCGATACCAACATGTAAAAAAACAGAACCCAAAATTAATGAGTGTATTACAAATGCAGTTTACGCAGTAAGACCCAAATTAATTACAGGTGATTTGGGCGAAGGATTTTTAACACCACCATTAGAGCCACTAGAATTAGATAATATTTCAATGGGACGTGGGGCTGGTTTTCAGGCCGTTTTTTCCGATTTATTAGTAAATGGTGGAAGTAATTTTCAAATTGAAAAACTTCAGTAAGAATAATTAAATTTTTTGCAACTATCTAATCATAGTAATTATTTTTTTATTATTTTTATTCTAGATCGAATATAACTTCCTTGAATTTTGCATTACAAATTTTATTACCAAACATTGATTTTGTTGGGAAATATTCATTAAGAATAAAAATACTTTTAATCGATGTCAATGGGAAAGGTGACATGAAAGGTTCCTTTAGTAAGTTAATGATTTTCATATAAGAAAAGCAATTTTTTATTAGATATTAAAAAATAATAATTTAATTTTATATATAGGTAATGCACGCGGTATTGTCAAATTACGTGGTTCAACTTATGAAAAAGATGGTGCTACTTATGTTCGTTTTGATAAATTAACAATTAAAATATCAATTAAGGATATGAAATTACAATTAGACAATTTATTTAATGGTGATAAAGTTTTAGGTGAAGTAGGAAATCAAGTTATAAATAATAATCAGGATTTATATTTATCTGAAATCATACCAGGATTAGAAAAAAGTTTAGCTAAGAAATTTTTAGATATTGCAAATGATATAACAAAACATGCCACATACGATGAAATGTTTCCACCAAATTAAATTAAATAATTTTTAGCATAAGTTAATTAAAGTTGTATATATTATGCTTGTATATTTATATCGAGGTTAATTATTTTACATATTGTGTTTAAATTACAATCAAAAGTTTGTGTTATGAATAAATAATTATATTTGTGAAAAAATCATTTGCATAAATGTAAAAATTTTTTTTTTATATTATTTATAATACATATACAGCAATCAGAGATCAGAGTGGTTCGGTTTTCAAAATAATTTCACTGATTTCACTCAAATTATGTTATAAAAATTTTGCCTATCTATTGGAGAATATTTTGATGTTGTTTTTCATTACAAAATTTTGCATAAAGTTTGGATTACATTGTAAAAGCTTTCAGAAACTCTATATGTTATAAATTTGTTTTTGCGTTACCAGTACTGCCAGTAGGTTAATAATGTGAACTCAGTAATGATTGTATGCACTCGTAAAATATCAAGAACAAACTCATTAAAACTGTATGACTAACAGATTTCGAGTGAAACAAGTATAGGCAAGATAATTTAGAAAAACACCCTTAGAAACTCTATGTAGTTAAATGTGATACAAAAAAAAAATATTTCAAAAAATTTATAATATTGAGCTTTCTCTTAAATTTTATTCTATTTCGGAAAACTAAACAAATTTTTATTTAGAAACAAATTTTTAAACAAATTTTTTATTTTATTTTTCATGTTTTTAATTTTTATTTTGTTTTATTATCACTTTTATTACGAATTGATTTCCAAATTGGCAATAATTTTTGTATAATCCAATAGCAATAGTTATATGGCATTGCACCAAAATACCACACAATTCTAAAAATTAAATTACTAAAATATGTCATAATATTATTTGGATGTAGAATTTCCCGAAAATGAAATGGTGGTCCAACTGATAAATTGTCAGACATCTCAAGTAAACTATCTTTAATGTTAGTTAAACAAGCACATAGTGTAAAGATGACAAACCTGGCAACATCTTTAATAAACCTTAAATGTATTTTGAAAACAATAATTGACTTATCATTAGGTTTAAATATATTATAGTAATGAGCTATTAAACTTTTTTTTATTTAACTTACTCAATTACGTCTTTGATAACCATTATAATATAAATACTCAAAACGTTGTCTCTATACTTAGAATATAATAGTAAAAAGAGTTAATTCTACAAAATTATTTTTATATTTTGATTAAGCAGCCTGGATTAAAATAGCTTGAACAAAGTTCAATTTTTCGCGATAAGTTACCGCGTAAAATTTCGATAAAAATTTGATTAAATATAATTATTAAATATATTAAATTATTAAAAATTAATTAACATTTTAAGAACGTTTTCTATACTAATAAGAACTAAAAATATTATTAGTTACCGGCAGCTCGTATTATGTTATTTACTTATGAAGCGATCTACTGGCAATAATATGCGAAAAAGAATTTTATTATTCCATTTGTTATCTTCTTAATGAATGTTGAAATAAGAAAAAAAATGTTTTTTGATAACAATTTTTTTTTATTCAAAGTAATTTTTAAATGAACGAACTAATAGATTTAATTTATACTCTAACATGTTCTAATTTTTTATACTCTGAGAACCGATATGACCATTAATTTAAAGAAATTGTTCGTTTGCAGATTAAATGTATATATAGGATGCTTTTAATTCTGAGATACCTTTTATAAACAAAACTGTTGTGGAGGAAAGTTGCAACCATAAATGAATACATGGTACACGTCTACACGAATTGAAATATTCTACTCGAACAAATTTAAATAAATGTGAATTTTTTTGGAAAATTAATACATGCTCAATAATTTACAATTTTAGAGCAAAATAAATATTGATAAAAAAAAGCTAATTTTTTTAATCTACCCAACATAATCTAAGGAGCAGATTGAAACTAAAGTAATTTTAAATGAATGAACTAAAAATAAAAGAGCAATGCCTCCAGATGTTAAACTCAATTTTTATTTATTGTACTTTAAATTATTTTTAAAAAAGAGAATTTTGTTGTTGCAGATTTTATAAACAAAGAAGTTTTTTACTCAATACTTTGTAAATAACCAGGTGAAATACTATATGGGTGGATATGTATGCAACCATAACGTTCTATAATTGCAGATATACGAATAATGAATGCTCATAATTAATTCTTAGGCATAATGTAATATTTAAGGATAACCTTCTATATATTATGATTATTCAGATAAAAGGTTCTTGTTCTATATATAGCCTATATATATCTTAATTATATGCTTTATTATTAGTGTTTTGTAGATATTGCTAAAATTAATTTATAATTTTGATTTTAAACTTATTGAATTTTTGTTTTAATTTCATTGAAAGTGAAGTATTAAACCTTCTTCAATATTTTTTTTTTCTATATTAAATTTAAAAAAACAAATTTTACTTGAAAAACTTAAAATCTATTAAAAATAAAATAAATTTTAAATGAATTTACTTTTTAATATTTGATTTATTTTTGTGTTTAATTTACAATTAATTTTATAGCAATTTTCTTATTAATTTTATGTGAAAATATAATTTCTATGTATATATTATGCCTACTCACATTATAGTGTTATTCTAAAATGCACAATTAATTAATGTTAACAAAACTAATATTAACGAAAAAAATAATATATATTTATATAAAACTTAGTATTATCAGATCAGTTGAGTTTTATTTAATTTGTCTATATATATCAAAAAAAGAAATTGATAAATTTTCTACCATTTAGCAAAACCAAATTCTCCCCATTGTCTAACAAAATCTTCATACTTTTCAATTACTGGATACCAATCATTACCACCATAATTGATTGCTGGTAATGTACCACCATAATTTTCAGGTAAATAAGCTGGATCTAAATATTCATGTAAAGTTTTCATATTACCGCCATGGAACCAAATCTACAAAAGATTTTAAAAGAAAATCAATTATTTATAAAACTAAAACAAATTTTATTTTTTGAATTTCTAAAATATTTACTCTTTTTCCAAGTTTTTCACGAATAAAAGGTTTAAATAATGGCCAAACCATTTTAAAAATAAATGGTTGTTTAACAATATGAACTTCTTTCATACGAATAGGCATTGCATCTTGTATAAATGTTAATAAACGTTTTGAAAATGATGGTGTTAATGATTTCACTTGACTCATTCCTAAACCATCAAAATCCATAATAACAACAACACCACGACACTGTGTTTCTGGTTCTAATTGTGCAGCAATATGAATCAAATAAAATAATCTAAACATTTGATCAGATGATACTGCACTTGGATTCCATAATTTTCCTACGTTAACAATTAGTATACGTCTACCTTTGTGATCACAATTTTTCAAAACATTAACAACTTGATGATTACAAAATGCATCCTTTTCCATTTCAGGCATTAATCCTCTAACTAAAGCAGCATTTTCTTTACGAAATTCAGCAGTGGAACGCATCTAAAAATGTTTTACAAAAACATAATGAAGTTTATTAGTCATGGAGCGCATATAAATATTTACATATTATATGTGTGTACTTATATTATGTACTGTTATTATTTCCATTTTCTATAAGATTCAAAACCTTAATAAGATTAAAAAATAAATTGAATTTATTTTAATTGCATCTTCATAAAGTAAAATACGATTATGAACTTAGAATATTTGTTATCTTTTCAGTTTTAAAAGGTGATATTTAAGTTCAATTTTTTATTTAAAACTAAAAATTATCAAACTACTTGGAAGATGTTCCCAATATAAAAATTTAATTTACTTTTATGAAAAATTTAAAATTATAAAAGCTGTTTAGTTATTTTTTCTTTAACGAAAAATTAAAAAAAAAAATTCCTATTGTTTTTGTGATTCAAATATACCTTTTCTATAGCACTTTTTGGATAAAAATGACATGCTCTTAACCAAATTGTTAAAAATTCATCATCATCTCTATAATGAAGATCTGTGGCTTCATGTAATAATTGCCGTAATTCCTCAATAGCAGCTTGTTTCACTTCTGGTGTCTCACGCAATTCATTTTTTGCTAATTCCACTGTTTCTGGTCTTAAATAACCGATACGTAGATTAAAACATTCTTCGCTATTTTCTGACATTTTTCTGTGTAAACGAAAAATTATAATTAAAACTAAATTTTATCAATTCGTTAACGAAAAATTTTTATTAGATTATCACCATATAAAATTAGTACGAACGGACATTTCATAGAATTTCTAATGTCCTAATTACACTCTTGCATGTAGGTCAGTTTATCGAATTAAAAATAATTTCAAATTATACACATGTATTCATGCAAATATTATGTAAAAACAAAATTATAATGTTACTAAAACTAGATTTAAGAACAACAGGACCATCTTATTTTAAAATTGAATTCAATTTTCAATCGAACTTATTTTAATAATCTTGCTTGCAAATGCGTTCTTGTTATGGTACAAGTACTAAAAAACAAGTAGTTAATTGTTGCTTCAATTTTTTGTAATTACATATATGTTGCCATCTGGGGTTCAATTTAACAAACCACAGAAAACAAAAATTTAAAGGCAACCTTTGTAGTCGTTTAATCTCAAATCTATAATCTTATCTCTTTTAATTTAATAATTCTAAAGAGTGCATAAAACAACAAAATATTTTAAAAATTTAGAATTTTTTGTTTTTCGGAAGGTCAATTTAATTTTTTATTAAATATAGTGTATTTATGAACACTTAATTATATAACTTGTATAATAAACATTATTGGTTATTTTGATACATATTATATAATATTGTGTTCAACATACTAAATTTTTTAATTTATTTTAGCCTTATGTCAAAATATAGATTATTGATAAAGTATGTCACAAAACGTATGTATGCTAAAATAGTTATTGTAGATGATCTGAACATTTACAAAGATGTAATTCTAGATTCAATTTCTTATAATGTGTAGGTGTGACATAGCAATTATTTTTGTGTAAAATTTTTTTTTCAAAATTGTTCACAAATAACAAAATATAGTTTTTAACAACATCGTCCCTCTGTGAGGCTCAATAATAAAAATATGATTGAGCGCTAACCGTACTTACAACAACAAAATTTTCAAAAAAATGAAGCAACAAGAAATACTTAATAAAAATAACTGCTATACATTGAATATATAATTAATGTTTAAATTTGTGAAGCTTCTGCTTTTGTTTGGGTTTTAGTACTCAGAATTCTTTGAAAAAATTAAAATATTATACACATAAGTTTTATAAAACACAAAATGGTCACATTTTAAATTTTTTTACAAAGTTTTTAAATTTTTAATATTTTATAATTTAACAAATACTTTGTTTGTTTATTAACATTGCTTTTTGCGGTGTGTAACTGTAATTTTTTTTGGAAAGGGCGGTAATTAAGTGTATTACAATATTTAATAACTTGTTATATTATTAATGAAAATTTATTAACCTTTTTTTATAATTTTGATAACGAGTATTCCAAAATGATATTATTTATATTTTATTTTATTAATAAATTTAATTTTTTTACTTGTAACTGTTTTCGAATTTCAGAAAGAACTTTCTAAGAAGACGACTACAATTTAAATGAATAATTTTCTTATTAAACACTCTGATTATACTTAATAAATAATAATTTATATAAATAAGAAATATTCATTATTATATTTAAATATGCGTACATACAATATATACTGTATATAACAATAAATATAACAATAATGATAAGGTTTTTACAATTATATTGTTGGGTTATTATTCTAAAGTACAACTAAAGTACCCATATATTGCAAACAAATTTTTTTTAATCGATTAAAAAGAAAAAGTAAATAATAAAAACAATGTCGAAAAATTATAATTTTTTTTTCAGATAATGAAACTTGACTTGGACACATAATATACTCATAATAATCAGTTATATATACAGACATATGAGTATGACAAAAAACAATAGAAAGAGAGAAGTATATACAAATAGAATATCTGTAGTCGAAATTCTTACTCATTTGAAATTTGTACATAAATTCTTGATCACTATTACTATACAATTTTAAAATCATGATCAAAATGCAATCGTCAAGTCGACGTGTTATAATGGTAAATTTTTTAAAAACACATTATTGTTAGTCTTGCCAACTTTAAGATCAAAAGTTCTTTTGTTGAACTTGTTCATTTAACGATTTAGTTTAAAACTTTTAGAGTCATCATTGTTAAAGCATCACGTATTACGTATTTGACATTTGTATTGTTACGTCCCATTTGCAAAATTCAAATTATGTACATATGTATGTATGTTCACATTTTCGCATTGAAGAAAGAGAATTTACTTAATCGCACAAAAATCCATATGTTTGATTCTAATCTTGAAAACAGAGAAAATAAAACTGAATTATTTTCAGTTTAAAACGTTCATTATATTTTTATTTTAATAATCAAAATCTTTATTCCCAAAACAAAGTTTTAAGATGTTACAAACGCAAAACTGAATTTGGAATTTTAATTTTTTTTAAACAAAAAATTCTTTTTAATGCTGATTTAATTTCTCTTATCAATACTACATTTTTTTGGTACATTATTTTAAAACAAAGATCACAACTTTGCTTCTTAGGTTTTGAAAATGTTCTAAATACCAAATGGCAGTGTGTCCTTTCATTCATCAAATATAGGAAAAAAACGAGAAAAAAAGTAGAGTTGACTTTGTCAACTCTGTGATACCCGTACGAATTTGTTGTCCTATGTGCGAATAACTAATGTGCCATAACTAACTATGGGGCAGACTATGACCTTAAATTATACTGGTTATCATACCATATTAATTTATGCAAAATTTCAGTACTATGTGTTTTTCAAAATACTGGTTGTGCCAAACTACTATTGAAGTTGTATGGCAGCTACCAGAAAGAGCCAAGAAATTTTAGCGAATTTTATCAAGCACATCGGCCCTACTAATATATTCATTTGTTGGAAATCTCAATATCACAGCTTTTATAGTTTCTGAGATATAGCCAAATAACTTTTGAAGTTGTATGGCAGGTACCAGAAGGAGCCAAGTAATTTTAACAACTTTTATGAGACACATTGGCCCTACTAATATATTCGTTCGTGTGAAATTTCAATACCATAGTTTTAATAGTTTATGAAATATAGTCAAATAACTTTTGAAGTTGTATAGCAGGTACCAGAAGGAGCCAAGCAATTTCAACGACTTTTATGACACACATTGGTCCTATTAATATATTCGTTTGTGTGAAATTTCAATACCATAGCTTTAATAGTTTCTGAAATATAGTCAAATAACTTTTGAAGTTGTATGGCAGGTACCAGAAGGAGCCAAGTGATTTCAACGACTTTTATGAGACACATTGGCCCTATTAATATATTCGTTTGTGTAAAATTTCAATACCACAACTTTTATAGTTTCTGAGATATAGCCAAATAAATTTTGAAGTTGTATGGCAGCTACCCGAAGCGGTACCCCGATCACGTCCAATTTAAATAGGGTTCTGGCACTTACTACAATAAATCATTTGTGAAAATTTGGTGAACTTAGCTCAATTAGTTTTTGAGTTATCGTTCGGACGGACGGACGGACGGACGGACAGACAAAGCTAAATCAACTCAGAATTTGACGCTGATCAAAAACATACACTTGAGTCTATATCTAACACCGTTATTTCTTAGCGTTACAAACGGTAAGGCAAATTTAGTATACCCTTCGAACATACGTTCGTACGGGTATAATTAAACACTAAATAAATGTTGCTGAATGAATTATGCTTTATCTTATATTATATAACGTGAAGTTAATAAAATAGTACGATTAGTTCAATCTTACCAGATTATATAATTTAATGCTATACATTTGCATAAGTAAAATTTGTTAGTTATAGGTGTACTAATTTTTTTTAAATATTTCAAGATGTTAAGGCAATTTAGCATACGATAATATTTTTAAATTAATAATCTCTAATTATTTAGTTTGTTTTCCCATCAAAATTCCTTGAGTAAAATTTCTAATATTTAAATTGCCTGGGAATATACAAAGATCCTGATAGAATTTACAAATATGTACATACATACATTCATCTTCAGTAAATAATTATCTCATCTAGACACAAAATAATATAAATCTTGAGAAATTAAAAATATGGAAGGAAAATTTATTTTTCTAGAGGTTTACGTTAAAAACTATAAATTACCAAAAAACGAGAAAAAAATAGAGTTGACTTTGTCAACTCTGAGATACCCGTACGAATTTGTTATCCTATGTGCGAATAACTAATGTGCCATAACTAACTATGGGGCAGACTATGACTTTAAATTATACTGGTTATCATACCATATTAATTTATGCAAAATTTCAGTACTATGTGTTATTCAAAATACTGGTTGTGCCAAACTACTATTGATGTTGTTTGGCAGCTACCAGAAAGAGCCAAGAAATTTTAGTGAATTTTATCAAGCACATCGGCCCTACTAATATACTTACTTGTGTGAAATCTCAATATCACAGCTTTTATAGTTTCTGACATATAGTCAAATAACTTTTGAAGTTGTATGGCAGGTACCAGAAGAAGCCAAGTAATTTCAACGACTTTTATGAGACACATTGGCCCTACTAATATATTCGTTTGTGTGAAATTTCAATACCATAGCTTTAATAGTTTCTGAAATATAGTCAAACAACTTTTGAAGCTGTATGGCAGGTACCAGAAGGAGCCAAGTAATTTCAACGACTTTTATGGGGCATATTGGCCCTACTAATATATTCGTTTGTGTAAAATTTCAATACCATAACTTTTATAGTTTCTGAGATATAGCCAAATAAAGTTTGAAGTTGTATGGCAGCTACCCGAACCGGTACTCCGATCATGTCCAATTTAAATAGGGTTCTGGCACTTACTACAATAAATCATTTGTGAAAATTTGGTGAACTTAGCTCAATTAGTTTTTGAGTTATCGTTCGGACGGACGGATGGACGGACGGACGGACGGACGGACGGACGGACGGACGGACGGACGGACGGACGGACGGACGGACAGACAAAGCTAAATCAACTCAGAATTTGACGCTGATCAAAAACATACACTTGAGTCTATATCTAACACCGTTATTTCTTAGCGTTACAAACGGTAAGGCAAATTTAGTATACCCTTCGAACATACGTTCGTACGGGTATAAAAACTTAGATTTGTACACGTTAGTGTGAAATGATGCTGAAGTCGGGAAGAAACTGTTGTTATCAATAAAAATAAAATCATAAACATACTAAACTTACATATTAAAATTCAAATTGGGATTATTTTAATTTTAGAAATTTGAACATTTGTATTCACTTCGAAAATAGAATCAGGAGTATAAAGTCTAACTTAATAAAGTTGATAATTAATTTTTTTTCCCAGTTATGCTTGAAAATTTGTGTTTTAGGGTTTTTACATTGAAAGTAACTCACGTACCAGTAACTCATGCTAAGAAGAACTTAATCACGTTTTAGAATTTAACAAGGCATTTTATTAGAATTTGTTCTACATGTATGTCATACACGTATTAGTAACTTATATGTGATACATATAAGAAATTAAAAGTGTTTCAAACAAAGAATTATAAAATTTTATCGAATTATAACATTTAATATGTATACTTAGAATTATGTTTTTAAAAAATTCGAAACCACAAATTACAAATTTGCGAAATTATAAATTCTTTAAAATTTACTTCCTACATTAATTTATTGTCGTCTATAAATGGCGAAATTGTTAAGTTTTTAGAGTAAAAGTTTTTATATACTATTTAGAAACCATAGCATAATATATTAAACATGAAAGCATGTGATTTATCGTTTTTCCATTTAATTGTATCGCACGTTTCGGTTCACTATGGTAGTACGAAGTGTGAAAAATTAAAAATGGACCTTTTGTAAGGGCAATAGAATTTTGTAATCAAAATTAGTTTAGCCAAAAACTAGATGTAGAAGTTCCTAAATAGACTACAGGCCGAAAAAAATATGAAAAAAATGTATTTACAATTGAGTTTTAAAAACTCGGAATGTAAAATTTAGCGACCATATCCGTTTCCGCATATGTAATGAGTTCAGTAAAAAACATAAAACCAGAGACAATAAGATAATTTCATGGGTAACATGAATAAATGGTAAGTAAGAGTGGACAACTTTTGTGATAATTCTCTTGGCGGTACATAATCTTTCGTTCTATAATTAAATTAATAATGAAATTTCAAAAGTCAATACTGTAATACTGGGAAATTCATTTTACTGTATTATATTCTAATCGTATTTGAACAAAGTTCAAACTCTTATCTTTCATTTAATGAGTTAATTTTTGACGAAAAGAAAAAGAAAAATTAAAAATTGAAAATTATGAAAAAATCTATTGGACACAATGTGTACGTAAGGTTTATTATAAATTTAAAAAAAAATGTTATGTATGTATGTATTAAGTAGAAACCCTTCAAAAAAGTTCATATCAGAACAGTATTAAATACAATTTCATAAAAATTTACAAATCATTAAGATAAAGGCCTTTTTTTTTTTTTTTTTTTTTTTACACAATTTTTTTTTTAAAGACAATAAAAAATTTACAAAATGAGTATAGTGTATATACACAAATATGCACTATGTATAGCAATTATGTATATGCACTAGCATTATTGCATATATGTGTACGTAAATTTTATTTTTTATATTAAAAATTTAAAAAAAAAGTTCAATGTGCGTGCAATCAGTAATCAATTTTATAATAGATTATCTATGTACTATAAACGTACAGTTTATAATAGTTTATAGGAAAAAATTTAAAATTCTTTTTAATTAATGTTATTTTAATACCATAAAGTGTATAATACGAAAATCGAATGACATAGTAAGGCCTCTGTACAAAAAGTTTGTGAAAAAATATTTCGACTCATTTCGGACAATATGTAAAATTTCGACAATAGGCTTTCCATTTTTTTGTAAACCTTTTGTACTCCGCGTACTCTATTGTGAGCCATTACTTTTACTTCTGGCCATGTAATACCGGCAACCCTTATTTCATTACGAACTGTTCTCCGCCATGTATTTTTGGGGCACCCAACACTTCTTCTCGCTTGCGCGTTCCTGTCCAGTGCCTGTCTGGCTATCGTTTTGGGATGGTCGCCTAATTGATATTGTAATTTATTCTTGGCTAGTTAGTGCCCACAGGTCATTATTGCTTATTCTTTGAATGAAAAAAATCCCTTAAAAAAATTTATTTTTTTAAAATTTCTTTCATTTGAATCAATATTATCTCGATTATGAAAAATGACAATGACTAAATTATATTTGAAATTTGAGCCAACTTTATACATTGATTACAAAATCAAGTAAACATTTAGTAAAACTCCTGGAAACCGCACTACAATTTAATAATAAACATACGAGTATATTCGTACACACTTGTACATAATATAAATTGAAAACAAAAAAAAGTAAGACACAATATTTGCACATATTGCGTTATTAATCAATTATATGAACTTTAAACCTTCGCTAAAAAATTTTGATATAGAAATCATAATAACAAATTTTATCGGGCTGATTACAATTCGTCATCGAAAATAATTTACAAGTTTACGATACAATGAACATTGTACTTGTAAATTAAAATTACTAATGAAATCCACTGATAATATTTTATTCATACAATTACAGTATAAGTGCTAACAACACATATTTTACCGTAATAATGCCGGAGAATACAAAGAATGTAAATTAAATTTTCAAAATTTAATTACTTTGATTAATCGTCAAATTTCTACAGAGAAAAGGGCTATTACTTTTACGTGACAACCACTCCCGCATAGAATTTTATCCTACAGAATTTAATCATTTCAAAGGTATTTAAATTATTTAAAGGTGCACAAATCAAAAAACCAAACTCAAATAATTTATAAATTAATTTTAATTGTGAAAACCAATAAAATATGTCAGTTAATATATAAATTTTTGAGCTTGATTTCCCATTTTGGAATATCTTCAATAAATTCTATATTTAATTCAGCAATTAGCCACATATAGCTAAAACGATTGTCACGGTTATTTATTATTGATTTTACAAAGCGTGAGTTACATAACTACAAGCCAATCAATAGCCCATAGTGCAAAAACCAAATGTTTGGCAAAAATAACACTTAACTTTTAATTTAATAACCATATTTAATCATAATTTTCACTTTCATTGAAATGCAGTCATAAATTTACTTGAAGACTAGGACAGATACATATTTTGTTAAGATGATTTGAAGTTAAGCTAAAATCATTAAATGTTAAAAAATTCAATTCAAAAGTTTATGAAATTGTTTTTTTAATAAATTTGAAACTATTTCAATTTAACACATTGGTCTTTCAATTCTTTCATTTCCGCATTTTACAAAGAAAATTGCCCTTTTGGAACTGAATTTATCATTCCTACTAGTCCTTCCAACACCTCCCGAGCAGTTGGGATTATTTGATCTGGTGGTAATATAAATCCAAATTTTCCAGTATCTCTTAATTCTATTGTGAATGTGAAGGGAATTTTTTGAACACCGTATGCCCATTCTTTACTCGATCCCGAGACGGCATCTTAAAGTATTTTTATGTTTAAATTTACTTTTCATGTACTTTAAATTCATTAGCATTTTCAAATTTGCATACTTACATAATACAACTGAACTAGCTCCATAACGATAGTTTGAGTTATAAAGTCTCCGAGCAGCATTTGCAAAACCAGAACCAACTTTCAACATGTCATCGTAATTGGGTGGAAACTCTTTATTTGTATGACCCCATGGTGTTAAAGCTAATTGTCCAAATGAATGAAATGAAATGTATATTTTTATTTTATTTTTTGGAATCGTTTCAAAATATTTTGTAATGGCTTGTATTTCAGGTTCAGATTCAGGAAAAGGTCCTGCATAAGTGTTACTACAAGGATTTGATGAAGCACCAGCCTCTAAAAATAAAACAGTAAGATTTTTTCCCATTAATAATTTTGTTCAATAAAGACTAAGAAATTATAATTACCCATCCAAAGAAAATCATAATTACGATTTAAATCAGCTCCAACACAATTTCCGTGTGGTTGTCTTGTTTTACGCCACATTCGATCCTATATAAAACATACAATTTTACATTTAATAAAATTGCGATTTCTCTTAATTGTATTTGAATTTTCTATTTTACCGTTGTATGAGTGTAAACTAAGCCATCAGGATTTAGAACTGGTACAAAATACCAATCAATATTTTCAGCAATTAATCGAACAGTACCGTTTTTCGATGTTAATAACTCATTAATTATCCATGTTGCTGTAGCACTAGATATCCATTCTCGAGCATGCATATTCGCTTCAATAAATATTCCAGGATTACCTTCTTTATGAGAAATTTTTAAAGCTCTGATCGGCCTTCTCTCATATGAATGACCGGGTAAATCGAAAACGGTTACAATATCCGGATATTGATTTGTTAATTCATCTACCCATTCATAAATTTCATCTAAAGGATGATAGTTTGTCCATTCTAATCCTGATTTTGTTAAGGAACTGGGTGATGTATCTTCGATAAGTCTTTAATATGAGATAAAAAAAAGGGGGAAAAGTTAAGTTCACAATACCTTTCTTAAAGTACTTACATAATTACTTTTGAACATCTGAAACGGTTTCTTCTATATCGATTTCATTTGTTTTCATTAAGTCTTTGAATTCTTCTAGTTGTTCGGGACTTATTAAAACTGTTGAAAAATCATCAATGCTAATTGGCTCTTTCCAAAAATCAAATTTATCCTCAAATTTTTTTAAAAATTCAAGGCTTCTTTCATTTTTCGAAATTACCTTAAAAAGACGATAATTATCATATCGTATTTTTTCAGTAGCCGTAACTGTAATAAAAAAAACAGTTAGAACGGGTATAAATAGAGCAAAAATTTTTAAATTCATTTTGATGTTTAACAGAACGTAAGCAAAAGTGATATGATATAAAACAAATCCAAAATGTTGTGACATTAAAATAAAAAATAAAATAAAAAATTTTTTATCAAAGTTGATTATTTATTGAAAAGTATTTCAGCCCAAACACGATAATCTTAAGTGTTTTATTTTACAAAATAACTTCAACAATTTTAAATGAAATAAAAAATATCAACCACTTAAAACTTTTGGATTTTTTTAAAATTGAAGATTGGTAGGGTCGATCGATAATTTTCCCTTCTTGCTTTTTAATTCTTTCAGCATCAATAATTTTTGAAATTATTCGATGACGAATGGTTGTTGAAAAGCATATGTCCAATAGAATTTTTAAAATAAACGGAATATTTTTTATTATGTATTAAATACCATAGCCTCCTAATAGCATGCAATAAATAACTATTCTCAGTTAGAAAAGTACTCCTCCTGTACATATGTTTTTTTTTTTTGTTTAACTGAAAAGAAAATGCACCCAATTTGTGATATGTGAACTTTTACTTTTACAATAATTACTGTCTTCATTAACAATATTGCCTATTTAAGCACATTCCATTAATAAGTGAAACTTTGCAGTTCAATTATTCTTAATAACCATTGATTTATAATAATTTTATATTTGTATCCGGTTTCATGAACACGTATTGGAATGCTACACAATATCATAGAGTAAAAAATTTAATTCCTATATTAGTAATATTGTTAACAGCTTAAAGAACAATAATAAGGTTTGTGTCTACAACAAACAGAAGTAAAAAACTACAATAATATAAGAAAGTTTCATATTTTTGTATAACAGTTCAACTCAGTTTATTATTATTGTGTTTGTATTAAATTTTTTAAATTTATTTTTTATTATATCTACTTTACTACTTTACTTGACTTTACTAATATGTATTACTTGAAAATTTTTTGTTTCTCATTCTCCATTCTATATAAAACATTTTTTAATTAATATACCAAAACCAAACCAATTTAATTTTTTAGTTGAGTGCTTTCTTTCGTTGCGAGAAGAGCTTTTTTTAGTATTTGGAACGGTAAAAATGCGGAAAATATGTTATTTGCACATAATATTTTTAGAGTAATTCATTAAATATTAAAAAAATTAAATTGATTTTTTAATCTTTTATAAATCTTTTTTTTTAATTAAAATTGATTTTTCAATTGTTTTTTATAAAAAAAAAAATTTAAAAATAAATATAATAAAAGAATTTTAAATGAATGTTAAACAAGTTTATGTGTGGTGAATGTATGTGTGCTTGTATATAAGTGGAAGTTTTTGTAGGCTAAGAATTAGAAGTTAAGAGAAAAAAAAGAAGTAGTTTGAAAATTTTATTGAAAAAAAACGATGATTAACAATGATATTTCCGAGTAACACATTTACATCACAAATTCGGATAATTCTTGAATTATTACAGTTAACTACTAATATCCATTACACTATTTAATTTTTACTTAAATTAGATAATCACATTAAAAATTAACTAAGTTATTGTTATGACATTTCGTTATTAAAATTAAATGCTAAGCTTTACAATATTATAAAGTTTTATGAAAAATTTATAAAGGTTTTTGTTGTTGTAATTAAACATGCCTACGTATTTTATAAAATTGTAACTATATGTACAGGCACCCACGCGATATGGTCATTGTATTAAAAAAATTATTATTCCAAAAGTGAAGTAATTACTTGCCGCATTGTGAATTTTAGTTTACAGTGTAGAAGACATGAATCATTTTTATTATAAATTAAGTTGGATCTTTCACCTGTAATTGCATTGTTCTGTACTGCTTGCGTTAAGAAAAGACAATAACAATTAATAAGATATTTGGAATATGTTTTTTTTTTTCACTTGAATCAACTTGTTAATAATAAATATGAAGTGAAAATTTTTAATTTTATCGTCTCTTGTAAATATGTGTGTTCAATTTTATACCAAATAAACATTTTTACATCAAAAAATTTTATGACTTTTGGTTTTTTTAATTTATGAAGTTACGAGTACATTTTAATTACATTCATTAAATGTTGAAAAATAAAAATTACTTAACAATTCAATGCAATTTTTTATTTTTAAATTTTTTAATTACAATTAGGTATAAAATTGAATTTTCTAAATTTTTTTTTTAAAAATTTTATTTAAACTATAAAAATACTATAAACTTATTAAGAGATTGTTTTTCATAACTTTAAATTAAGTATAAATAAGCTTACTTTTAGTTAATTCATAAGCCTTCAAATTCTTTATGTATTAAAATAATTCCCGAAACAATATTAATGTTACATGGGTAGCAAAAGTTTCCAACATATCTACATACATACATGTTTAGTTTATACCTTTATTTCACCTTTAAATAAATTATTTTTATAATAGAAAAAACAAAGATTTGAAAAATCAACACAAATTTTTAATATAGCTTAGAGTAAAAAATGCATATATGTATACATGTAAATTTTTTATTTAATAAATATTTTATTTGCATTTTTGTAATATAAGTATTCAGCTATATAGCTGTTTAAATACATATTTTTATATATTAATATATTACATATTATACATGTATGTACATAAGTATAATAAACAAATCTTATAAGTATACGATCATTGATCATTTTTCAATAAGATTTTTCGGTTATACATATGTTATACAACAGAATTAACTACATAAGTTTTAAAATAATATTGGTGTGTAGTAATGAAAATTGTATACATATATATATGTATCGTTTAAATAACTATTATATAAAAGTTAATATTAACTCTCTAACAAATACAAACATGGTTACGATATTGACTTGATATTTAAGTTTTATACACATAGTTGATGTATGGAAGTTATACCTACATTATAAAATTCCAGTTTTGTATCTTATTGTAATTCTTGTTGAGAGTTACCCACCTATGCATAACATTTATTTGGCTCTCTTATGCAGGTTATAAATGATTTGAATTTTGAAATATTCATAGGTGTCTGTCCGATGTTTTATAATTTTCATTTATTATGTATCCGTGTAATTTTGAGATAATTTATAACTAATACCATGATTTATGTATGTATGTATGCATGTACATACTTTTGCATAAACTAGATATTACGAGTAACGTAAAACGTTTAAATTTTGAGTCATCATTTTAATTATTGTTTTTCTTACCATTATTTTTATTATTATTAATAAGAAGTTTTACAAAGTTTAACCTAAAATTTATATTATAAAAAATTTTAAAAGTTTACAAAGAAAATATAAAAAAAAAGTATGGTAGATACGCTTAATTAATTAAAATGTGTTTATTGTATAATCAGTTTTGAAAAGTGAATTTTAAAAGTGTTTACTGTTATATATGTGCATTATTAAATGCACGTATGTATGTATGTATGTATCTATGTATACATGAAATAAGAAATAACAAGTTTTGGTTTCACGCTAAATTGAAAAAATAAAACAAAAAAAAGCAAAATGTATGAAACCTGAATAAATTTTTCTTCTGTTATAAAAACAAAAAATGCCAACTTACTACCGATCTGCTGAATCATCATTATCGTGAAATTGTGATTGTATTAATTTTTACCTACAATTTAATTTACAATAGAAATGCATGACAGTTTTTTGCAAATCTTAAGTTAAATTGAGTGATACAAATTTTTTACTTTAATTTCTGGAATGAATTTTGAAAAAGAAAATATTCATAATTCAAACTTTTTAATGGATTTACCGTTGGAGTATTCAATTTGACGCAATTCACGTAATATTAAAAGCAGTGCAATTTTTTTATTTATGCATAGTACCCACTAAAATACGTTCTAAGGTAAGTTTATTTAATATAAAATATTTATTATAGATTTGTGTTAAACATTTTATATTTGGAAAATTAATATAGAAAATATTAAACTTAATTTATAATACATAACCAGCTGGATAACTAAATTATTCAATTATTTCTAAAACTGACAACTTAAAGGTATTTCACATCAATAAAATATTGGTGATTAATTTATAAGTACCTGAATTCTAATTTCTTATAAAGACTTGATGTCTTCATTCATACATATGTATATGTAAACTAGATACCTACATTTTAAGTTTTACAAATGTATTGTATTTAATTTATATTAAATTTTGTGGTTTTCTTAAAAACGAATTATAAGTGTTTGAAAATTTTTAAGAGTAGGATTAATAAATTGCAATCGCACCTGGTTCTAGAAACCACAATTTTTTTGTTTGATATTAGTCACAGCAGTTCCAAATTACACACCTTCATTTTAAAATATCGAAGTATAAATTATTTTCAAAATAAATACTTATTAAAAAAAAACGATCTGAATCATACAGTGAAATTTTCCATATATAGTAAAGTGGTGGGCGACTAACACCTGAATATTTGATTTATCTTGCATAAATATGTAGATTCCAAAATGATTCTTCCTATTTAACTTGATATTGCTAGTAATTTTTTATTTTGTTCTTGTATTTTATTGACAACCTATTTATTATTATTCCAGTTGCATTATGTTTATGTGGAATGGTGCAAGCATGTGCGTGATATCAGTTCAAATATATGTAGTTCTTATAAACTTTCTTGCTGCATAAAGCTTATTTTTCTTTTTGGAGTTGAATTTATATTATACTCACGTTACTTCTCAAATTAGCCAATATTCTGTTATATGTATAAGAAGTTCATTTTAGCGCAAGCACATTATCATTTTTTGAAAATATAAATAAAGATTATATTAACTATAATTTGCGTTTAACAAAAATTTACTTTAAATCAAGCTGAAATAAATATATTTTAGTATTAAAATTTTTTCGATTTTAATTTAGCAAAAAAAAATTTCCTTCGAGCCGGATTTGAACCAGCGACCTATGGATTTCTGCTACGATTACTAAATTTAATTCTCATTAATGAATTAAATATTGTATGTTACTACAGTCCACCGCTCTACCAACTGAGCTATCGAAGGTATATCACAAATTTGAATTTTTGTTTTATTATACTCACAAGAATAAATAAATTTTTGCTTTTAAAGCACAAAAAAAATATCAGTAATTCAAGAAAGTTAAAATTTCGTATTTTGTTTCACCTGATATATGTACGTCTTTTGTAGAAAAATGTTGTATTATTGTATGTACAGGGATTATCGAATGCAGTTGTTCACACAAATTCTAAGATAAAATTAGAGAGTTATATTTTCAATTTTGCACATGGAGTTTCACAAATTTAAATTGTTAATGGTTAACGAAAACAATTTTTTGTATTAAACAACATATAAAGCATGTATTTAGTATATAACGGGCTTATTATTATAGATCAATTATTCAAAGGTTTATCCAGTCAAATAAAAATACATAACCTACTTAAGTATATTAACTAATTATAAGAAATGATGCGGATCTCCGCTAGATGGCTTTATATTTTAATATAAAAAACAACTAACTTTTCTGAAAACAACTAACTTAGATAATAATTATTAGTGTTATATTTTTTTACATAAATACAAAATTTTAGCCGTCTACTGTTATACAGACATTAACAAAAGATCATAATTAGAGAAAATTTTAAATCTTTATTTCTGCAGCGCCCTTTTTTAAAAACTTACTCTCTTAATATTTTTCACGAACTAATATGGTCCCATATAATAATAAAATTGAAGGTACCTGTATGTTATGTAAGTTTATAAACGTGATATATTTCGTATAAGCATTATAAATGAAATGACGAAATATGAAATTCTTAATTTTTATGTTCGTTTCAAGACACGCACGACACGTATGTATTTTTGTTTGACTAAAAAGCTAATAATTAGTTATGATAATAAATAAACATGTTAGAAAAAATTATTTCTTTTTTGTGACGACAACATCAAAATATTTCTAATACAAATGTGATTAGTTTAGAAAATTGTAGCAACAACCTTCGATAGCTCAGTTGGTAGAGCGGTGGACTGTAGTTAAAGCCGAAGTATCAATAAAGATTTACTTTGCAGAAATCCATAGGTCGCTGGTTCAAATCCGGCTCGAAGGATAGGAATTTTTTTTTAGTTTTTAAATACGTTTAAAATGTGAATAATTAAAATTTGCGAGATACCAGAAAATAAATTTTTTAAGCTGTCTTGCAATTTTGTTAGAGCTTACGATTGATGTTGTGAAAATTACAATCCATTGCAAACCAGTATTGTTACGGCTGTGTTATAACGATGTGATGTTAATTCATAGTGTAGCTATATTATTGGACACTTAAAGGTCAAATGATTGCACAACACTAAAAAAGGAAAAAAAAAATCCCATATATCTTTAATTTATACGTTATTCATTTATGTTTATGTTAACAGTGAAAGTTTACTTTTTCTTTAACACAAAATTAAATATTGTACACTATAAACATTTTTTTCACATAAGTATCTACATAATAAAATAATGTACTTATGTATGTATTTTATGGCTAGTTTGAGGCCAAGTAAACATTCATAGTAACAGTAGCAGTCTTAATTCGAACATAATAAATTAAGATCAATTGAAAAGAATCCTAATATCGTATATAAATATTTTCATAATATTTACAAAATACAGTGCTAGTGCCTATATGCATATCTATAAAAATCTATCATCTTAAACTTTCGTATCTATATATAAGTTCTAAGTATATAAGTTCTCTACACAAATAAAAAATTTTTGATTAAAGTTATTGTAGAATGTAGACAATATTTTCAATTCAAATAAATGAGATGACACCATAGCAATAAATTTAACAATATCACTGGCGGGTGTCTTCTTAATTGAAACTAAAGATTCTCTTTTACAATTTATTTCGTATATAAAAATATATGGAATTATATATATGGAAGTATGTTTATGAATGTATTCTTCAATATAGTTTTTCATGTCAACTAAATCTACACAAAATTGACTGAAATTTCTACACTGTGTTTAAAATTTAATAGAATTTAAAAAAAAAATTTAAATGAATTTGCATTGAATAGATAGATTTAAATTATAAATTTTATTATAGTATCATAAAAAAATTACATACATATACTACATTTGTGTAATATATTAAATATTTAAGTATTTTAATTTTTATCAAATAACAGAATTTTCCAAAATAACCATATTTTAATATACAAAAAAAAACTAAATTAGATTGTGAAAGAAATCATTAAATTTAATTATGAAAAAAAAATTAATAAATTTAATCAGTTTAAATAACAAAATATCATGTTGTACTTTCAGTCAAATTCTTTTATTCAAGTAAAACCCATAAAATGTGCCCATCCTAGCATGGCTGGCAGTTGAAAATTACAAAAAATAACAATTGTAATTGTTTCTTTTTTGCTTGTTCCATCAGAAGTCATTTACAAACAGGATCCGCACTAGTAACATTTATTTCAATTATTTCGTCTAGATTAGTTTTTCGTTAAAAGTATTAGTACTTATACGATTTTTAAAACTATTAACTTTATTAGGGCGTTAAACTTTTATTAGTAAAGTTGGATCAAAACAATGTTCTGTAAACCAGCGGAAAAATTATAAAAAAGTTTTTTATTGAAACTGTTCTATTGGGTCTATAAAAATGCACATACAGATATTTCTTTTTATTATCACTTTTTAAACGCATTGACGGACGGATAGGCCTGCCAATCAGACGAACAGATGAACTAAAGAAAGTCTGCTTACAAAATAGTCGAAAACAACTGATAATGGGGTCAATTAAAACATTTTTCCTATTATTACTTTCATCGTTTAGAACAAATGTATGTTTATTCAAACAAATTGACCAGCGAACAGAAGATTTAAAGGCGAATGGACAAATATAGATTTTAGAAATTAAAGGGAACTTCTTTTTCCAACTTATAGTTCGAACAGCCAAAAGTATAAACTTTGAATTATTTTTTTGTGTGCAGCTAACCCTTTAAAAACACTTTGTTATTAAGCATGCCTCTGTTAAAAATAGAAATACTTAAAACATTAAAATTTAATTTTATTCGACACAAAAATATAGTTTACAGTATAATAATATGTTAGAGGTTAACGCCAATCCATAATTTTTTAAATCAGATTAAAAACCAGACAAAAAAGTAATACCGCTACCATCACCAATGGAATTGCTTAAGTCACGAATTCGAAATTTTTATATATTTTTTTCATTTTATTAGTAGCTTTTATCATAGTTTTCATTGTAAATATTTTGTTATCGTAATGCTACCAAAAAAAGGTTAAAGAAAGTACTTAGAACAATAAAATTTCGTTTTTATATATAATTTTTAATTCTTCGTACTTAAACGACAGTATTTTGCTTATTTTGATTTGATTATGTACATTTCCGTAGTTATAAGTCTGGCAGTTTGTCTAAAATTATTTATTCCATTCATATGTACATGTTTCAATTGTACAATGTGCAGGACTTTACATTTTTCATTAATAATAAAAGTGAAAAGTTTAAATTGAAGATTTTACAGACTAGTTTTATATAGGGCTAGAAGATTCACCGCAAAATCAGCGCACCTTTTCTGACGTATTGTAAAGTGAGAACATTTAATGTCGAAAGATGTTTTATTATATCCTAAAATTTACTAAAATACGCTTATTATTTTTCTATAGCATGTAAAAGTTTGTGCAGTGCTCTTATAACTGCAAAATATACAATTTGTTACAAATGCAGTTACGAATATATGCAATTTATTACGAAAATATACAATTTATTACGAACTTATTACGAATACAATTTGTTACGAATCAAACTTAATCAGTTGGAATATGTAATGAATCCCATCTGATTCACCCAGTCCACAGATTGGCTTACCCTTCTTATAG